GTCTACTTTTGGGTACCTGAGGAAAATCAGCATACAGAAAAAATGGAGTGAAAAAAGGCACCAGCGACTCTGTATTTGTTAACACATCAACTCCATAATCATCACACAGTAATTACTACTTCACAGCTACCCTCTAAATCCCATGCAGGTTCTCCAGGTCATCTCTAGCATGGGACACTCAAGGAAAGGGATTCTGGGAGACACAATTGCAGTTTAATCAAACTGGCATAGTTCAGACCACATGGGTGTGAACATCTGCAACACACAGGGACACTAATGATGTCCCATTTCTTGTTTGGGATGGTGTTAACATCACAAACACACACACACACACACACACACCTCGTATATGTAACAATTATTGAAAAAAAAGATGAATTTAAGACAGCAAGGAGGGTATATGGTAGGGTTTTGATGAAGGTAAGGGTGTAAATGATGTAATTATATTATTTTGGTCTCAAAAAATAAAATAATTTTTTTTTTAAAAAATGCAGCCCCACCTGTACTCCTGACAGGTAGTCTGGGTGCACTTGGAAAGGTCCATGGATCCCATGCTCCCTCTAGTGGTCAGTCACTTCCTTGTCTACCTTTGTTCAGTAAACCGGCACTTAAAATGAAGAGAATTCACTAAGTGCAAACAGTGTACACTTACTCTGTAAAGTATGTCATCAGAAAATGTTTTAACCCTCTGAAATTATGCTTAAATAATCAATTTTCCCCACCCAGATCTCTCTTTTTCTAAACAATTTTTTTAAATTATGTGGATGGGTGTTTTGCCTGATTGTATATCAGCACCATGTACATGCAGTGCTTGTGAAGGTCAGAAGAAGATGCCAGATCCCATGGAACTGGAGTTACAGATGGTTGTGAGGTACCATGTGGGTTCTATGATCCAAACTCAGGTGTTCTGGAAGAGCAGCCAGTGCTCTTAACCACTAAGCCACCTCTCCTGCCCCATATGGTTTTTTTCTTTTATTCTTATCTCATAGATTACATCCCTACCAAGTTTCCTCTAACTCAACTCTTCCCAGCCCCTCCCCTTCTCCATTGTCCCCCAGATCTGCTCCTTTTTGGGTTTCCCTTAAAGAGCAATGGGGGAGGAGAGAGAAAGCAAGCTTCCCATTGATATCCATTGAACATGTAAGACTAGTGATAACCCCTCATATTAAGGCTGGACAAGGCAACACATTGGTAGGAAAAGGGTCTCAGGAGCAGGCAGAAGACTCAGAGACATCCCCTCCCACTATCGGGAGTCCCACAAGAACACCAAGCTGCACAACCATATGCAGAGGACCAGGCTTAGACCCATACAGGCCCGTGTTTGTCACATCAGTCTCTGTGAACCCCTGTAAGTCTTGCTTTAGTTGATTCTGTGGGCCGTGTTCTCAGTGTCCTCTAACCCTTTGGCTCCTACAATCCTTCCTCTCCATCTTATGCAGGGTTCCCCTGGCCCTGCCTAATGTTTGACTGTGGGTTTCTGCATCTTCTCTAAACAGTTGCTGGATGACACCCTTCTAATGACAATTGGGCTAGGTACCTATCTATGAGTATAGCAGAATAATTAAGAATAATTTCATTGACTTTTTTTCATTGCCAGTCATGTTTAGTTTTATCCTGGAGCTCTGAGCTGTCCTGCCTCTGGTTCCTGGCTATCTAGGCAGTGTTAAGTGTGGGCTCCTTCTCCTGGCATGGGCCTCAGTCATTGCTTGGTCATTCCCACAAATTATGCACTAAAATTACTATACATCTTACAGGCAGAACAAATTATAGGGCAAAGATTTTGTGACTAGGTTGATGTCTCAATCCCACTGCTAGGAGACTTGCCTGATTAAAGAATGACCAGTTCTGGCTCTGTTTCCCCCATTACTAGGAGTTTCTACTATAGGGTCACTCTTGTAGATTCTGTGAGTTTCCACTACTTCACTCTTCTCCCAATGCCCCCCAGTTCCAGTAGTTTCTCTCAGTACTCTCTCTTTCTGCCTGATCTCTCTCGTTCCCATTCCCACTTGACCCAAGTCCATCCAGGAAATCTGTTATTTCCCCTTCCCAGGGAGATCCATGCACCCTCACCTTGAGCCCTCCTTGTTACCTAGTCTCTCTGGATCTATGAATTGTAGCATGGTTATCCTTTACTTTAGAGCTAATATCCACTTATAAGTGACTGCATACCATGTTTGTCTTTCTGGGTCTGGGTTACCACACTCAATCTAGTTCCATTAGCTTCCAAATTTCATGATGTCCTTTTTGTGTAAATGTATCACATTTTCTTAATCTATTATTTAGTTGAGGGACATCTAAATTGTTACCAATTTCTGGCTATTATAAATAAAGCTGCTATAAACATAGTTGAGAAAGTATTCTTTTGGTATGATGGAGCATCCCTTAGGTATATGCCCAGGAATGGTATATCTAGGTTTAGAGGTAGATCAATTCCCAATTTTCTGAGGAACTTCCATATTGACTTCCATAGTGTCTGTTCAAGTTTGTACTCCCACCAGCAATGGAGGAGTGTTCCCCTCATTCCACATCCTCTCCAGCATGAGCTTTCACTTGTTTTTGATCTTAGCCATTCTGTCAGTGTAGGACAGAATCTTAGAGTTGTTTTGATTTACATTTCCCTGATGACTAAGGATGTTGAACATTTAAGTGTTTCTCAGCCATTTGAGATTCCTCTGTTGAGAGTTCTATGTTTAGATATATAGCCCATTTTTCAATGAATTATTTTCTTTGTTGATCTCTAGTTTGAGTCCTTTATCTTTTCCCATTCTATAGACTATCATTTTGTCCTATTGACAGCATCCTTTGCCTTACAGAAATTTTAACTTCATGAGGTCCCATTTATTAATTGTCAGTCTTAGCACCTGTACTATTGACATTCTGTTCAGGAGGTTGTCTCCTGTGCCAGCGCATTGTATATTATCTCCCACTTTCTCTTCCATCAGGTTCAGAGCGTCGTGATTTATGTTGAGGTCTTTGATCCACTTGGACTTGAGTTTTGTGCAGGGTGATAGATATGGATATACTGCATTCTTCTATATGCTATATCCAGTTAGACCAGCACCATTGGTTGAAGATGCTTTTTTTCCATTGTATAATTTTGGTTTCTTTGTCAAAAATCAGGCATCCTTATATGTGTGGTTTTACATCTGTGTCTTTGATTCAGTTCCATTGACCATGTATGTTTTTATGCCAATGCCTTGCAGATTTTATTACTATAGCTCAATAGTAGTGTTTGAAATAAAGGATGGTGATACCTCCAGAAGTTCTTTTATTATACAGGATTATTTTATTTTATTTTTTCCATATGAAGTTGAGTATTGTTCTTTCAAGGTCTGTAAAGAATTGTGTTGGGATTTTAATGGGGATTCCATTGAATCTATGGATTACTTTTGGGTAGGATGGCCATTTTTACTATTAATCCCACCAACCTATAAACATGGGAGAACTTTCCATCTTATGATTATCTTCAATTTCTTTCTTAAAAGACTTGAGGTTTTTGTCATACAGGTCCTTCACTTGCTTGGTTAGAGTTACACCAAGATATTTTATATTGTTTGTGGCTATTGTGAAGGGTGTTGTTTTCCTGATTTCTTTCTCAACCTGCATGGCATTTGTGTATAGTAGGGCTACTGGCTTTTTTGAGTTAATGTTGTATCTAGCTACTTCACTAAAGGTATTTATCAGCTCTAGCAGTCACTGGTAGAATTATTGGGGTCTCTTATGTATACTATCATATCATCTACAAATAGTGACACTTTGACTTCTTCCTTTCCAACTTGTATTGCCTTTGTCTCCTTCAGGTGTCTTGTTGCTCCAGCTAGAACTTCAAGGACTATATTGAATAGATATGGATAGAGTGGACAGCCTTGTCCTGTTCCTGATTTTAGTTGAATTGCTCTGACTTTCTTTCCATTTAATTTGATGTTGACTATCAGTTTGGTGTAAGTTGCCTTTATTATGTTCAGATATGTCCCTGTATCCTTCTTCTCTCCAAGATGTTTATCATGAAGAGGAGTTGGATTTTGGCAAAGGCTTTCAGCATCTAAAGAGATGATGTAGGGTTTTTTTTTTCTTTCCGTTTATTAAGATGGTGGGTACATTGACAGAATTTCATATGTTGAATCATTCCTGAATCTCTAGGATGAAGTCTACTTAATTATGGTGCATGACCTCTTTGATGTGTTCTTGAATTTGGCTTATTATTGCTGTGAAGAGACAGCATGAGCATGGCAGCTCTTATAAAGAAAACATTTGAGGGTGGCTCACTTACAGTTTCAGAGGTTCAGTCCATTATGATCATGAAGGGAAGCATGGCAGTGGGCAAGCAGATGTGGTGCTGGTGCTAAGAGTGCTACATCTTGCAGGCAACAGGAGGAAGTCAACTAAATGTCAACCAAGGAAAGCTTGTGAAAGAGAGACCTCAAAGCCCACCCCCACAATGACATACTTCCTCCAACAAGGCCACACCTTCTAATAGGGCCACTCCCTTTGGGGGCCATTTTCTTTCAAACCACCACATGTGGTTTCAAACCACATGTCAGATTGCGGGTTTGGGTTTTGGTGGAGGTTTTTATAGACACTGTAAGGTAGAAGGCAAGAACCATGCAGAAGGGCTCCAGGCTGTCCCATGGTGCTGAGACATGCGGAGGATGCTGAAGATGTGGGGCTGAGACTCTGAACTTTTTTCTTTTCTTCAAAGTTTAATTTGTTTCAAATATTAAAAGTCGATGTAAAAAACAATGAAATTGTTAAATGTAAGAATTAATAACTGTCACAAAGAAATGACATGTCAGAGTGGTAGGTGGTGTTTCTGAAATTGTTTCATCCTTTTTCTATGTTGTCTTTTTGAATTACTTCCCCTGTTTCCTCACTGAATGAATTCTGGCAGTTAAATGCGTTCTCTGAACTCACTCCTGTAGTGCCCTGTCTTATGGTACACTGTGGTACACTATTTTCTCATCCAAACCTATTACTTTGCATTGTCTTAATTGGAACCCCAGGCAATTACCAAGCAAGACCAGGACACAGACCTCACCATGCCAGCCATCTTTGGATTCCTCCAGCAAGCTTCGCCATGGAGCTGGAATTGTTCTGTCCCAAGCTGTCGCCTCTTTTCACCAGTGCTACTCACCTGTTGTACTTCTGTGGAACACAGGTGAGTGTATTGGAACACGGATCAAATTTATTCCTGTGAGGAGTATCCACAAGAATCTAGTCTCAGTACTAGAACATTTTCCTGGCATGTGAGGACCCGGTTTGCACCCTCAAAGGGTCCACCTGTGAAAGGGTGTGTTAAAGTACTGTGGTTAGCATTCCTTAGTTCCAAAGGCAGAAAATTTTATCATCTCTCTAGGCCACCCTTCAAAATATGGGAATGTGATTGGCTCAGCTTGAGTTAGGTTCAGATATAGCAGTGGCTATGAACATTAGTGTCTATTGAGGACCATGTCCAGAAAAGGGAAGAGTGTGATCTAGTTACCACCTAAATACATTAGTACAAAGCAAATTGCTAGGGTGGTAGGGACAATAAAAATGAGTCAGTTAGGGGGGTGTAGGCTTTAAGAACTAGATTAGAAATGGGTGGAGACTGAGTGATGGCTGGGGTGGGGGTGGGGTAAAGTGCTTGCTGTGCAAGCATGAGGACCTGAGTTTAGATCTCTAGCACCATGTCAAAACAAAAAAAATCTGCATTTATAACAATGACATGGCAGAGGAAGGAGGCAGGTGGGTTCCAGAGGCTCAAGGGACAGCCATTCTAGCTGAACCAATGAGCTAGAGGTTCAGTGATCGACCTCCCTCCCCCCCAAAAATAGGATGGTGTTGACACCCCCACCCCAACATAGGATGTTGTAAAAAACAGAAGACAGGGAGAAAGGCTAAGAAATGCCACCTCAGGGCACAACACAGCTATTCCATTCAGAGACTCAGCAGCTGTGGACACCAAACACTGAGTCTGCACAGAATGGGCAAACACAGTTGGAGGAAGAACTCAAGAAGCCCTATGCCTCACCCTGGAACTATTTGCTATTGGTAAGTTGGAGGTAAGGGGTTATTGCCTTCAGTTATTGGCAATAATGAGCTATAATCACAGTTGCAGTATCTTAACCAATTGGGTTATCTGAGGCATGATTGTTGTCAACTAAAAACTTTCCTGTTATGTAACCACTGGTACTGCACCAAGCTCCAATGGATAGTCCCGAGCCAATGGTTGCACAAATATCTCTGGTTAAACTAAATGGGTAACAAAATAAGACCAAACTACTAGGAAAGGAACTGGTAGGACGGGGCAGAGTTGCAAGGAATGGGAGGATGAAACAAATAACTAATTTCATTTTTAAAAGTGGAAAGCAATAGAGAAAGACATCAAATTCTGGCCTCCATATGCATCCAGGTGTATACACACACATCACACACACACACACACACACACACACAGACACACCACACCATTTATTCTGGGTAATACCATTTATTCTGACCACTCAACCAGAAGAGTGTCCGCTCTCCCACACACTTTCCCTTGGCTGTTTGAGAACTAACATTCTTCCTTAAGGCGTCTATTTTCTAGACTGAGCATCTTGATTTCCTTCTAGAATGCTCTGTTATTTTAAGAACTCTTCTCCCTAACTGGTAGCTTTTCTCTAGAGTTACCATCAAGGACCAGGTTAAAATGAAGAGACTTATTTTCCTGTCTTCGTAAAAGCTGCCTAATATTAGATTTGATTTAAAGAAAAATCAAGATATATTGAAATGGCTGACATAAAAACTCCCAAAGCTGCAATTTCCAATAAATGACTGATATGCTAGCTATAATTTATGTTTTTACAGTTGATTTTTAGGCCCAAGTGCAAATTTCTAAGTCATGTTTTTAGTTTACTTTCAAACCTGCTCACTCTTGACTCATTAGTATTGTTAACTATTGTGTATAGTTCTAGTACTTGAACGTAGGGCCTCACACAGTGTAGGCAAGTGCTCTAGCTCAGCTGTTCCTAGTCTATGAGTTTTCCTGTGTGCAGATCTGACATCTCTAAATGTGGATGTTAATGAAAGTGGTGGCCTCATCATCTCAAGTTTCTTTGCAGCAGAGCTGAATAAGCCACACTGCTAACATCATCAAGTGGTACGTTCTCACGACTCTGGCTGCTATACACTTCTCTTGTGAAAATAAAACAACAGTGTTAAATGAAAAAGTGGAATTCAGTTAGATTTTTGGTACAATTTACAGAAAAATTCAAGCTTACTGTGGAAGTCACTGTGGTGGTTTGAATGTAATTGGCCTCCATAGTTTTATAGGTAGTAGCACTACCTATATGGTAAGTGTAGCTTTGTTGGACTGGGTATGATCTTGGAGGAAGTGTTGTCACTGTGGGGTTGGGTTTTGAGGTTTTCTGTGCTCTGGATACCAATGTCTCAGTTGACTTCCTGTGCCTGCGTATCAAGATGTAGCCAGCACCACATCTGCCTACATGACATCATCATACTCCCACCACGATGGTAACGGACTGAACCTCTGAAACTGTAAGTGAGCCACCCCAATTAAAAGTTTTCCTTATAAGAGTTGCCGTGATCATGGTGTCTCTTCACAGCAATAAAAACCCTAACTAAGACAGCCATAGAACTAACATCATCAGAATGAATTCAGGCAAACTATGGCTAACATAAGAAAGAACCAAAAAAACAAACAAACAAACAAACAAAAACAAAAAACTACCATCTACAGTAACTCAGGGTTATTTCTTACCGTCTCTTGATTTGTAAGCCTCTCTCTCATTTCTCAACAGGATGGGTTAACTCCTGCCTGGTCACATGGCACTGCAGTTTCAGCTTATAGGAGACTAGAGTTCAACTCCCACATTCCCCAGGAAGAAGTAAAAAGGAAATTCTTGTTTGGCCCAGGTAGGAGCAATACCCCATGCAGCAGGGTCTCAGCAGAAGGGAATATATTGCAAGAATGACAGAGCTGGAATGGGAAGTGAAGAGAGGAAGGAAAAGAATGGAAAAAAGAGGGTAAACTGGAAATTTTTTCTGCTCTAAATGGGAGCAGATACTCCTCTGAAATAATCTCTCTGGGCAGAGCTAAAGAATCTTGGTCATTTAACCTCTTTGGAGTGGGAACAGACATAAGATAGTAGCATTCAAAAACTGGCTCTGTGTGTGTGTGTGTGTGTGTGTGTGTGTGTCTGTGTTTGCAGGCATACATTTTCCATGGCACACATGTAGGTCAGAGGACAATGTTTGGGAATTAGTCCTCACCTTCCATATTGTTGGGGCAGGGTCTCTCTGGTTGTTCTCTGGCCCACAAGCTCCCTTTGCTCATCCCTGACTTCCTCGTCACCATACGATGGACACCACCATCAGGCTTGAGTGGTTAAGTGCTTTTGGCAAACATTTTCAATGAGCCATTTCCCTGGTCCTAGCTGTGATTATAGGCTGCAGGTATACATGCAGGCAGAACACTGTATACATAATAAATAAATAAATCTTTTTAAAAATGTTAAATAAACACACAGTTTATATTTTCTTTTCTTAGAAAATTGTTGACTTGTTTCCACCAATATTGTTTAGCACATTTGAGAAACCAGGCCCTTTGGTCTATGTAGCTAAAGAAACAAAGTGAAAGGTAAAAGGCTACATCAGTTATCTGTGTTCTTACTAATAACGCTTTATTTCTTTCTTTGGAGACAGAGTCTCATGTAACCCAAGCTGGCTTTGAACTTACTATGTCATAGCAAAGGATGACCCTGAGCTGCTCCTCTATCTCCAAGGGATGGAATTTGGAGGTTTTGAACTCCATGCACTCTACGCAGGTGCTCCATCCAATGAGACACAACCCTACCTTGCTTCCCCAATAATATATACAATTTTGTTAGATGCTGACTAAAGTAACTACTGACAGAGATACAATCTGTCTTTCCTCCAGTTTACTGTTCAGAGAAACTACATATAGACTGTGCAGACAGGATTCCGAGACCTAAATCACACTTACTTAGCTTCATCATCACTGCTCAATGACATGAAATAAAATTTTTAAAAAGGTAAAATCTCTATTATAAAAATAGGATTTATAGGTCTGGAGAGCTGGCTTATTGGTTAAGAGCACTGACTGCTCTTCCCCAGGGTGAATTCCCAGCAGCCACATGGCAGCTGACACCTACTCCAGTTCCAGGGCTTCTGACACCCACACAGACATACATGCAGGTAAGACACCAATGAACAGAAAATAATTAAAAAGGATTTATTTATAGATAGATACAGGATACAAACTGCATTTCTAATTACATACAAATTCTGCTTCTCAAGTGGAAAGCACTATAAAGAGTGGTAAAAACTAAAAAGTCTCCATTGTTTGACCTTCAGTCTCAACACTTGTTTCCTTTTACAGCTGAACTGGGCTTAGAATCAGTCACACATTATAGCACTTATTTTCCACTAAAAACCTAGCAAATGTTTTTATATCTGAGATTCAAGAACATGTAATGAAGCAAAAAATCTTTATCAACCCAATTCCATATACCCATGCTCCCCAATCTTGAGAGTACAACATATTACATGTGAACACGACCATCCCTTTTCTATTCTGGGAAGCAGATATATTGACTGTTCTGCCTTGTAGCACTGCGCTTTGAATTAAGCCCAGTTGCAAGGCTTACACTCTGAAACTAACATACAGATGAAAGTGAAATAAATCAATTGTCTTCCTACCATAAAACCACCTTAAATAGTTTTGTTAGGTATTTACTATAAGTAATTACATTACCGTAAGAGTCCCCGTTTGTTTTCCTTTAACAAGCAGCCTTGCTGTACTTGGATGGTGAAGATACTATATAAGAATGTAGCATATATTGCCTTCAAGGAAATATATGTCCACACTTTAAGAACTGTGCAGACTGAGGGTGTAGCTCAGGAGTAGAACACTGCTTGCTAAGCATGGTACAAGGTTCTGGGTTCAATATATAGCACAAGAAAATAAATATATAAATAATTGTGCCCCATGGTGACTATCTCAGTAGTGTATTCTGAAATGCCTCAAGGACAAATTGGAAAAATAAGTTCAATTCCAACTGACTCAGATGCTAAAAGTGTCCACTTCAGCGTTGGGAAGAATTTTATTGCAGAATGCTAAAGGGAAATGACAAAATAGTATGTACATTCTCACAGGAATGATAACTTTGCTTATATTCCAGAGATAAAAGCGGTGCTTCAGTTTTCCAAAGGCCTGTGGCTTGAATCTGGGCCTTGTGCATACAAAGCAGGCAGGCACCTTACAGCCAAGCCACACCCCCAGCTTCAAAGGTACAGTTGTAGCATAGCTAGCAGTGAAGACAGCACCATTTTTATCATCAAGAATAGTAGTCTCAGTCGAAAGAAGATACTGGTCCATGCAGCCGTTTTCTCAGTTACGCTGCTTATATAACACAATACGTATACAAAAGCTTTTGAGCCATTGCAGTGTTTCCGCTGCTCTGATAAATGAGAGACATGTTGTAGGCAATATCTCTTCGAAGGTCTAACTGGTCAACTTCTATCCCCTAGAGGAAAAACAAATGAGTATTTTATTTCCAACTGGCCACTTCAATATTATGACAAACTTCTGTAATTTTCTAAAACCATTTAAATTCATATAATACTAAAAAGAAAATACCTTGGACCTACAGACACACTGATTCAGGTAATCATCCAATGTCTAACCAACAGGTTATAGAAAAGTCTCCCCAGTCATAGGAGAATAGGCTTCAATTCTGATTCACTGAATGGCACTGGAAAGCAGTTGGTGGCCTCCACTGAGTACTTGTCAACAGTTTTGGGAGGATTATGAAAACTTGGGCAGTTTCCTTGTTGTTTTGAAAGTTCACTTTCACTGATGGAGGCCAAAATATATGGTGCTACTCATAGTTTGTTTCAGGAATTAAAGTGTCAATTAAGCTTTAAAAATTATATTAATACTGGCCTCTGTCTATATGAGGAGGCTGGAGAAATGGTTGAATGTACAATGCTCTCTAAGTTCTCCAGGACTCATACAAAAGCTACAGGCAGCAGCATATCTAATGCCAGAGATCCTACAGTAAGATGGGATGTGGCGAGAGGAGCCCCAGAAGCCCACGGGCCAGCTAGCCTGGTGTATGCAGCAGTGGTCAAGAAGCCCTGTCTCAAACAAGGAAGGTTGTTTTCAGAACTCTACACACGTGCCGTGGGATATGCAATCACGTGAACAAACCCTTACATACATAGAAGGGTTTTGTTTGGTTGGTTTTGATGAAACACACTGCCAGCTCCTATCTGGAAAGCACAGGCGCTACCTTTGCATGACTGAAAGAGGGTTAAAGGTCATAACCACATGTGCACAGTTTAAGTGGTTGTGGATCAAATCATAAGGCCAGGATGTCAAAGATTTTCCTGCTGTTGAACCTACATATAACTGTATTACAGAAAAAAAAAATCTTTATGTAGCCTGAGATCTTTCTTGGTCTGCTATGAGATTGCTGACATGTATCACTACACCTGGCCCCAAACATCAATTTTACCATACACACTATGATTTACCTCATTGTCTAGACCATAGTACACAGCAGAGTGTACTTCTCTATAGATAAAAGGAGGTGATGTGTAAGTTACCTCGACCACAAGTGGAGGCAGTGCCAGAGCCTTCTGGTAGTAGTGGATTGCAAGGTGAGTCAGTCCCAGTTGATGAAGGCCACGGCCCAAATTGTAGAAAGATTCCTGGCAAGGTCCACGTATGCTGAGGTATCGATTAAGGAAAGAAAAGCCCTACAGAAAAGAAAAGGATGGCCAAGTATGGTCAAGTGCAGCACACTGAAAAAGAAGACCATGCATGTTAGGGTCTGGCTATGTCAACAGTAAACCATCAATATGATGGAGATGCTGGAATCATAACAAGACTGCCCATCATAACAACAAGACTGCCCTCTTAAGAGTTTGCAATCTTTTTTTTTTTTTTTGAGACAGAGCTCACTATATAGCCCTGTCTAGCCTTGGACATCCTCCTGCCCTCTCAGTACACATCCAGCTGAGTTTATATTCATATTAAAAAGCATAATTTTGAATTGTTATAAGAACTAAAAAGAAAATTCTCTCTTGCTCTTTCATACCTCTTTCTGGCAGAGTTAGATATATTCATGGAACTAATGTTCTTGCACAAAAACTAATTCCAAATGGATTAAAGACCTAAACTTGTAACACTGAAACTGCCAGAGAACCTAGGCAGTCCACGATATAGGTGGAGGAAAGGACTTCCTGACCAGGACTCTATTTGCAGAAGAATTAAAGGCCAACAACTGACAAGTAGGACTTCATAAAAACTGACAAGCTTCTACACAGCTAAAGAAATGGTCAACAGAGTGAAGAGAATCTTTGCCAGCTATACATCTTAACATCCATAATATACAAAAAAGTCAAAACAAACGAGTCAAAAGACACCCGTTCAAAACAGTTCTCAAAAGCAGAAAACAATGGCCAAGAAATGCCATCTTACCACAGTCAAAATGGCAAAGATCAATGGACAACTGACAAAAAATGAGGGGCTGCAGGGAAGAAGAGAACCCTCACTCACTACAGGTGGGATTGAAAACTGGTGCGGTCACTATGGAAATCAGTGTGGAGAATTCTCAAAACTAAATCGTCCATGTGACCCTGCCATAGCCCTCCTAGACATATGCCTAAAGGACTGCCTACTCCACAGACATTGGCTCAGCTGTTCTAATCACAAGAGCTAGGAAACAAATAACCACATGTCCTTCAAGCAACAAATGGATAAACAAAATTCGATACATATACACTACTGAATACGATTCAGGTGTAAAGAAAAATCAAATCATGAACTTTACAGGTAGATGTATGGAACTAGAAAAGATCATACAGAGTGAGGTAACCCAGACCTAAAGACAAACTTCACATGTTTTCTCATATTGGAGGCTCTTAGCTCCATATCCTCAGAAATGAGTACACAGCCTGTAGTAACTACAGAACTCAGGAAAATAAAATTGGGACCATTGCTCAAATGAGGGGATGGTCATGAGCAATGAGAAGGGAATAAACAGCAGGGTACAAGTAACCTGGTCAGGGAAATGGGAAAGGAGGTAAATATAGAAGGGGGGGGGGTGAAGAGGGATAGCAGAGTATAAGTGAGCTGACAGGGGAAAGGGAGTAATGAGGTACAGAAGGAAAATGGAGGAAAGTAACATAAGAATGTCTGAAAAGCCACAAGAAAACATACTGTTAACTATTTGCCTTTAAAAAAAACCTTATAATGAATGTAATTCTGTGTATAAATAAACATAATTTTAATGAACTTTTCTCATCTGGTGGTTCCCCCAAAGAGCCAAAGACTAAAAACTCCAATACCAGAGTTGGCTTAGGCTGTCCAAGAAACTCCCAACACATACAGCCTATTGCTGTTCCCTTGGTTGTCCCCAGAAGTGGAAGGTAAGCAATCCCTCATTGCCAAAGATACCATGCACTTCAGAAACAGGCCCCAGAAACCCGAGGTGAAATTCACCTGAATACCCACCCCCTGAGGACTAGCTTCCATGGTACCAGAAGGCACCATGCAAGCTTCCAAAGGAAGGAGGCAACCAACAGTCCTGTCCAGCTATGACACCTGTGAGCCATATCAAGGACCTGCATGGCTGTAATGGTGCACACTCCGGCAGTAACCACAGCTCTCTACCTAGATTTAAGACCCACTCAACAAGAGGAAAACCAGGCCTGGTACTGGAAACCTAGCTAGCTAGTCAGTGCTTGTAAAGTCATTGTAAAGTGGTTGTAAAATCTGCAACCACTACTTTACTAAAACCAACATAATCCCTAACAATAATCTATTAAACACTTGTTCTTATACACACATATAAGTGTAGTACTCACCCCTCATCAAGGAACCCTTTCTTTACAACAGACAGAGACTACTAGGAAAAACCACAACCTATCAAAATGCAGAGTTGTGGAACCCAGTCCCAGTGGAAGCATCTACAAAACAAGGCTCAGGGAATATGTGGAAGAGAAAGCTAAAAGAATGAAAGATATTTGAATCAACCCCTGACCTCTACACATGCACACCAATGTGTAGAGACATGTGAGTAGGCACACAGAACTGATTAAAAGAGTCTTTAGCGCCTCAGATAGTTGGAGCCCCCAGAGAGTATAAAAGGACGCAATTCAAACCCTGTAGATTCTACCTATACCTGCTGTTGACTGCTTGTATATGCTCACTATACCGCTAGAAAGCTTCCTTTATCTCCAGTATAACTATGCTGAGTCCACCAGTCTGGGACACAGGAGTAAGTGTTGAGAATTGCCAACATGTTTATCAAGCAGTCATTGTTTTGAAATCAGGTTTTTAAAAAGATGTTACACATGTTCATTCATTTCCATAAACATAGAGTCGGGAGACTCTGATGGCTTACCTGCACAGTCAGGGCATGTCTCTTGAGCACGTACTTCTGAGATGCCATGTGAATAAAGGTCAGGCCTATGCAGAGGTTGTAGAGAGGCTCGCTGGGATAGGCACGGAAGGCTTGTACATACTGTCCTGAAAGTGAGCAAGGCCAGATGATGATGTGATTAGAATAGAGCTCTTTCTTTCCTCAACTCAAATGTTTTAAAAAAACAAACACCATTATTGTAAAAATATGTATAAAGACCCTGTCATCCACACACATTAAACTTTATAGCAATGTACAGCAATACTATTAGAAGTACCCTCATGAGTATACCTTGATGATAAAGAGTAACTTAAGCAGAGATAGACATTTCTATATAGAATAATACTTCTAAAATAACTTAGTATGATAATCTATTTTATGACCTTAAATCTGTCTACAGATGTCTAGAGAATGTGTGTGTGGTGCCTATGTGGGCGTGTGTATGTGTGCATGCAACTGCCAGCTGATGACTTCTAACCCTAAGCAGGAATACCTACTTGACCTCTAAAATAACAAAACATTCTCATGATTATTACCAGTACTTAGAAGCACTTACACATAGCAGACTTTGTTTTAAATACTTCTTTATATTAACTCATTTACTGTTCAAAATAACCTCTATGATAGGTCCTTATATCTGTTTAAGAGACTGCTTTGCAATGAGAGATAGGCTATGTGAAACCCAGGCAGTTCTGTTCTAGAACAGAAGCCCAGCCCTTGACCACTACACAGACAATCAGGTGTCAGCACACTTACCAAGTGCATGTTTGAAGCTCCCAGATACAAAAGCATTGTGTCCATTTAGAACGCACAGGGCATGATTATCAGGGTTTTTCAGCATCAGACGGAGACAGAAGCGATGATGTCTCACATCTTGGGAATGCATGGTAACTTGATTGAAAATATTCCACAGCTGGGGCTTATTGACATTTTCCATTACCATCACCCTGTTTACCAGCAGAAACCATGGGAGAGGGAAATAATGTAAAATCAGGAAGTTTAAGAATGAAATTGTTTTTTAATTTTTGTGAGACTGGGCTTCTATGTGTAACAGGCCTAGTTGTCCTGGAACTTGCTCTGTAGACCCAGATGGCCTCAAACTCACAGAGATCCATCCACCTGTCTTTGTCTCCAAAGTGCTGGGATAAAAGGCATGCACCACTACCACGTGGCAAAAATGAAACTCTTTAGTGCTATCCCCAACAAAGAAAAGCAAAACCTCTTCTACAATGAAAGACTTTTCCCTGGAAAATGCTGCTTACATTTGTATTTCTTTATCTTGTTTTTGATTTTGAAAAAACAAACATCTCTTAATCTAAACCATCTAAGGGTTTGTTTTACCTGCTTTCCAGCTTACTGTAGCTACAGAACATAAGCAATGGTTAACTAATAGTATGCCAGGCACTACTTAAAAGCTTTAGGTATGATAAGTCATTTAACCCTAGTGATAGAAGTATGATGCCCTTACAGAGTATGAGGAAGGAGAGGTTAAGTGACTAGCCATACGTCACATTACCAGGTAGTGTCAGGGGGCCTGAACCTGAGAAGTCCAGCTCTAGAGTTCATCCCATGAAAGAACACTTAAGAATCACTATTGAACTGAGCCAGTAAGCTGTAGGAGCATTAAGAACAAAACAGCTCATTAATTCTTGATGTAAGAACTTAAGTCACATAAGTGCACATGTGCTATCAGAGAATACAATTAAAATATGATCAGAGGGTCCGGAGATGGGTCAGTGGTTAAGAGCACCATCTGCTTTTACAGAGGATCAAGTTCCCAGCACCCACATAGTGGCTCACAGCCATGTGTGAGTCCAGTTTCTAGTTCCAGGGGATCTGATGCCCTCTTCTGACCTCAAAGGGCTCCTACACAGTGTTACATATACATACACTCAGGCACACACATATACATGAATATTTGTGAAATATGATTTATGACTAGAAAGTTACCTGATATAGTCATATGCCTTTCTGAAATTTTTGTCCAGAATTGCAGCAGATAGACCAAAGTATTCTAGTTCTTTGCGTTTTTGTCTGTCGTCATAAAATGAATAATATTCCAGTGAAGAATCGACAAGCAATTCAGCTTCTTGGAAGCGTGATAAGTCACTCAAAGTGTATATGGCCTTCAAGAGAAGGTTCCACCAGTCATCTTTTGGCAGGACACTTGTGAGTACAGCAAATATTGCTAAAATGAGACAAATGAAAACCAATCAGGGCACTGTTAGTTCCAGAAACAGTATTACTGGAAAAGAAAAATGCACGTGAGTGTACAGATAGCCTTCATAGCCTTGGTCCTAAGTTCTAACTTATTGATAACCTGACAAAGGTAAGAACAGAGTAGCTACTTGTGTAGACTCCTTCAGTCCTATGTCCTTCCACTCTGAATGTTCACCAGCCCAGCATTCGAGTTAACTCTCACTCTTGACTCACCACTGCACAGTCAGTGATACCATGTGCCCTTCTTTGTTGGCCTTAGCTCATATACACACTGCTCTAGGGGGCAACAAATGTCTTTTCCATGGATGATCACATAGATTTCTGCATAAACACATCATCCTGATGTTTGGAAAATGACTGTCACACTTTACAGATTTGGGTTTTCTTGGTCTTTTTTCTAATCTCAATTTTCTCTGCCTGAAAATTTCACTTTAACATCCTTTTCATTTGTCCATAAGAAGTCTCCTTTACAAAATCACATTAAAAAATAGCAAGCCAGATATGGCGTGCACACCTGTCAATCTCAGTTCTCAGGAGAATGAGGTGGGAGGTGCTAAGAGTTTAAGGCCAGTCTGGGCTACATAGTAAGTTCAAGACAAGCCAAAGCAATTTAGAGGAGGAGGGAGAGAGAGAGCAAGCAGGAAGGAGGGAAGATGAACAGGAAGAGAAAAAAGGGAGGGGAGGGGAGGAGGGGACAAAGACTTGGGCTGGTGATTGTAGCTTAGCAGACTACTTGCCCAGCATGTGTAGGTCCCTCAGTTCAATCCCTAACCCTGAAATAGAAAAATGGAGGGAGGGAGAAGGGAAGAAAAGGAGAGAGGGAAAAGAAGGCAAACAGATCTGTACATCTAAGCCACTAGTTATTCTTCTGGTAACCTTCCTTAAACAGTCAAAACATGGATAGGCCTATATCTGAAGATGCTTACTCTACATTACTATTTATACACCAAAACATTCCGAAATGGCCTAGTTCTATAATTGCTATTCACTGGACTACTGTGCATTCTCCAAATACAACTATAATACAACTATGAAGAGAGACACAAGAACATTCTATTTGAAAATACAGAGTACAGAGTTGCATGTAGGATAGAGAGGTACCTTTAGGTGAAACACCTGCCTACTGTGTGCAAGCCCTGGGGTTGACCCCAGGTCTACAAATCTGCATATAACATAAAGAAGCTCATTCATCCAATCTGATGCCATCTCACTAAGATGAAATTAATTACCTTAGAAAAACAAAAAGACCTGAAATGAGGAAGGAAAAAGGTGGGTTTTATATGGACAAAAGTAATTTAGGGAAACATATCCAAACTACATGCCACAGAGTAGAAGCTGCAGGAAGAGACAGCAGGGCTCAGAAGCATCTATAGCCTAGATCATAGGCAGCTGACTGCTCCTCGTTCAGTCTCTCTCGCACTCCAGTGCCTTTCCAGACTGTTAACTTACAGTGAAGGAATGTTGCCAGCCTCACATCTCCAGTCTCGTCTTATCTCTAAAGGTCTTTCTTGGAGCCAGCACCTCACTCAAACGTCCTGATGCCTTTTAAAGTCCTGTGACTTAGACTGGGTCATTGTGATTCACTTTCAGAGAGCTTCTATGACTGCTACCTTTGTCAAAATAGATTTTAACTCAAGACCTATGTAGCTGAAGTAAGTGGGCATAAAATCTGTACTGTCATCTAATCTTCACAAATTTTCTTCTTCAACGGTCCAAATTGTTTTACTTTATGTTTTTCAGAGAAAGACCCAGTAGATATTTGCCTTTTAATTGAATTGGTTATACCTGGCAGATTTAGATTATTATCAGGAATTACTTCATCTGTCCTTTTGAGTTTTACATAAGGAAATGAAACAGTTACCTTTTGCATCATAATTTGATGTTTCCTGCTCATTGTTGTCTGATATTTTGTCTCTTGACACTTTAATAAGGTAAAGGTGCCTTTCTCCAGACTTGGAACTGGAGATCAAACAAACTTGGGCTCTATTCATCGCAACCTGAATAAAAGATGATGAAATGCTTCCTAGCCAATAATTCATACAGTAAGATTGACCACAAGTACCAAAAACCAGACTCAAAGCATTCCAGCAAATTACTCTATATTTTAAATGCCTAAATGTAGAATGAATTGATTTATTTTTTTCTTATCCAAGGAATTTCAGTCACTGCAGACACATTATCAGGGGAACATTGTTAGCTCACTATTACATGCAGAACAGGGGAGGAGGAATGAATACTTGCCCTGTCCTTGCAAAAACAGACTCAGAATGGATGTGCAAAAATGCACAACAGTTTTGCAAATGAACCATTTTAGTACACATGACTGTCTATAGAGCTAATTCTAGAGTTTTCATATTTTGAAATAAGTATACTTAAAGATTTTGATTTTATTTCACTTTTTCTGCAATCAAGCTTATATTATCATGTAGAAATTCCAATACTTGGGCTGGAATATAATTCAATAGGAGAGTACTCACAGACCCTGAAGTCAATCTCCAGTGTTAGAAATTAGTGAATATGAATGGAAATTCTTTTATAAGTTTTCTGTATTTATCTACCTTTCAATTTAAAATGAGTTTAACACAGAATAATTACAAAGCTATCATACTGTTTAAATCAAAATTTAAACATTTTAAAAATAAACAAAGCTAATATAAACAAAAGTCACTACCCACCTTTAAAAGCATGGCTAGCATGGTCAATAAGGTATCCAGATAACCGTACATTTTGCCTTGTGAAAATAATAGAGTAGAACGATGAAGCAGTAACTTCAGTTCCTAAATAAATGTGCAAGTGACAGTTAGTGATACAATGTCTTTGTGGCTTTATTTTGACAAATAAGGTTTTGTTAGAAACCAGACTCTACAAACATCTGCTTTATGATATAGTAGTTAAAATCTAACACTTTAGAAACTGTAATTTATATCTGATACAAAATGACTAAATTGCTTTTCAAAACCATTCAATTTGGAGGCTAAGGAAATGGCCTGCCATGCATGCATGACCCCAGAAACTGATAAAAAGGGGTTGGTGGGAGGGCACAGAAGGGGAGGGAAAGGGAGAGGGACCTGGAATTGACATGTGAAGCAACCTTGTTTCTAATTTAAATTTAAAAAAGAAAAAGTCAGGCAAATGGGTTCATCTCAACACTGGCGGCACAGAACCAGGAGGGTCCCTGAAGGTCACTGGCCAACCAAACGGTGAGCTTCAAGTTCAGTGAGGGACTATCTCAGTAAGTAAGTAAATCAAACAAAAACAAACAAATAAATGTGCATGCAGAGAAATCTAGGAAAGATATACCCGATGTCTGCCTCTGACCTCCAAACATGTACACACTCATTCACTAGTACATACAGCATACATGTCATCTGCTTCTGACCTCCAAACATGCACACACTCACTAGTACATACAATACACATAAAACAAATTCCACTAAATGAACACACTAAACAAGAACTTTGGCAATGGCTGTAAAAACGGAAGCCAATGCCCTAGAGCTGCATGAGCAGAAGAGAAAGTACCCAGAGAAGCACCCCGTGGTGTGGCTTACCTGCTGTGCGGCATTAGCATCCTGGGCTAAAGTATCTGGGTCATACATGGGTTCCAGAGCTTCCAGGGCTTTCTCGGGGCGGCCTAGCTGCTGCTGAAGGATGGAAAGGGAAATTCTTGCATCCAAATGAAGTGGAGCCAGGTCAACCACTTTACTATAGCTTTCAGCAGCGCGTTCCATGTAGCCCAAGGCCTTTAAACACTCTAAGATGGTAAATAAAAAATGTTCTCTAGTCATAAGCTGGACAAAACTATTCCTTTTCAAATTTAACTGGTAATTTATTTGATTTGATATGATTGAGACAGAGTCTCCATGTGTAGTATAGGCTGCTCTCAAATTTGCAGTTTGGTTGCGGCAGCCTCCGAAGCCTAGGGTTACCCGTTTACACTTCCTCACTGAGCAGGATTTTACTATTTTAAAGAACTGTTGGAGCAACTTAAGAAAATTATAACAACAAAGAAATGAGTATATATTGTTAGTGCTTTACTTTTCTTCTTTTATTCTTCTTTCAAACAACACATCCCGAATGCAGCCTCCCTTCCCTCCACTGATCAATCTACTGATCTTTTCCCTGGTGGTGCTAGAGATCAAACCCAGAGCCTTAAGCATGCAAGGCGAGCATCCTATGGGACTAGCTAGATTCCCAGCCCTGCACCATCAGAAGTAAACTGCTACAAAGATGTAATCAGTCTAGGCTCAATTTGGTGTCTTTATTCATTTAGTGCTATGTTTTAAGCATTCTTTATGCCTTCATTGGCATTTTGAATGTCATGTAATAACCAATCATAATTACTAAATAACTATTCAGTCTACTGACACAGGGCTTGTTTCCAAGCATACACTCTGGTCATACCACAGGAAACAATGTATCATATCAAGAGTTCATTACTGAGAAACCCAATTTAATTCACAGACATGTTTACTGTGGCACAATGGTTGTTGAAAGTATTAACTGTCTACATATTTTTAAATTAGGATTTTATAAAATCCAGGGTACTTGCATCTTCTAATTTGGAAACAGCAAGCTAGCTCCCTCCTCTCACATGGCATCATGGGCCCATGGAGATGCAACTCTCAGTTCTCATCTCTCCCTACTCCCACATAGCCACTTTGCATTGTTACTGGGTTCCCCAGTTTTGTAAACCCCCAATATCGACTATCTCCCATTACCCCCTCCACTCCTCAAAATGAGTCCTAAGTCATAAAATGCCTCAATCAACCACTGTCAGATCATTTGCCTTGGAGGCACATCCCGATAAGCATTTCTTCATTCCACTCCAGCAGCTCCAACACGGAGCTGGGTCTTCTTACATGCCCTTTTCACTGCAATGACCTCCTAAATATTTTGACTCAAATTGTTTACTCAGATGTCTCCTGGTCACTGCATTAGGCTAAATTTTGAAAACAAATTAGACTAGTAATATGAATGAATCATCATAATGGCATCTCTTATTTGTTTTCACATTTAGCTACTTTAATGTAATGCCACAGCTATTCAATTCTTCTTATGGTTCTTCTTGATTTTTAGATGACTCTGAAGTTTTAATTTATACTACAATTCACTTATTTCAAAATGGAAACAGCAATGATCCAAATGTGCATCATAATGAAAAAGGATTCGCAAGTGTCTACTAATCACAGAGCAATTCCAGTTTCATGGCCTTTGAAGGCCAACACACACCTATACTCTGCTCACCCTGGGCTCCTCTCTTCACAAATCCCACAAAGGTAATTTTGTATGAAGGTATTATAATTATATTTATGTTTACTTTTGAAACAGGAAAATGTTCTCTTAATACTGAAATGAGCTTTCCTAGAGCCTACCTGGGGTGTGAGCTACTATGCCAACATGCCAATTAGTTTTTCTCTACATATAAACATGACATATTATAGATATGACATATCATATTTTAAACGAAAACTTTTCTGTTAATGCTTCTTTATCTGTTTTTCTTTGGGGGTTGTGTTTGTTTGTTTGTTTGTTTGTTTGTTTGTTTGTTTGAGACAGGGTCTCCTGGCTGACCTAGAGCTTACTAACATGCAGACCAGGCTGGCCTCACACTCACAGAAATCCGTCTACCTTTGTTTCCCAGGTGGGTACCACCAGGCCCAGCCTTAATAAATCCTACAGATTATCTTTTATTTTTATAAATCTAAGAGATCTGGTTGCTTTTTAAAGCTATTTTCTGTACTCAGAATGATTTATTTTCAGGTCTTAATCACAATAAAATAAAATGATTAATAGATTAATCTTGAGCACATGTGGCTCAAATAGCACAGAAAAATGCATTAACTATTTTCTCTCAAAGTAACATTAAATATACATTATAAAAGCACTTTAAAAATAATTTTGCCTCTATCTGATAATAAGTTCTATAATGTATGGCAATGACAAGTAAAAGATGGGTAATTAAAGGGCATTTCAGTTTTTCTGTTATCACCCTGGTGATTTGCAGCGAAGTCAACATCATTAAGTAAACTTATTGTCCCCTAAAGAGAACACTGTGGCTTTGGTTTCAAGTATCTTAATGTCACTTATGTTAGGAGTAGACTCTAACATCCCTTAAGTGTTGGGGCTCAAGGACATTGACATGTAAGGACAAGCAATGGTAGTCTAGCAAGACAACTGCATAACTAATCTTCCAGCTACACGAAACCAGAAATACTTGCACCAATAGTCTACTATGTTATAATGACTACAAGTTGGGAATGTAAACACTTCCTGGTTGTATGATTAAAACAGTTTCCTTCCACAACTAAAGTATTACCTGCATGCCGAAGCCAAACCACTGCAAGGTTGTATCTTTCAGAGCAAACCAGCGCGCTGAGCAGGGGAAGTGCAGAATTATATTCACCAACATCCAGAAAAGCTTCAGCAACATCAAGATAGAGGTCGCCCATATCTTCAGGATTCTGTTCCACCAGTGTTGTCAACAGAGGCTAAACCCCAAATAAAAGCCAGAGGTCAAACATTCATTACAAATAACCACCTCTCTTTGTCAGCTGCATGACACAAGCCAAAAGCAGCAAGGACTAACAAAAACAACTTGATGGTCACTTTTCTGTATTTCTATTAAAAAGATTAAGACTTCCATCACGTTTTACGCATTCATTCATCACTCTGTGTGAGCCTATTACCCCCAGCAGCTAGGAAGTAAGTCTACCAGGGAGTGCTTTCTCTAAGCACCGAACAAGCCTATGCCTTTGACTCTGTGTTTGCTGATGCTTGAAAAGCTACTCCATCAGTTCCTGATCAAGCATCACCTTCTCAGGTTACTCCCCTACTAAAACCACACACACACAGCTTTCTCCCATCCCTACATTCTGTCTATTTCTTGTTTTTCTTCAGAACACTTTTCATCAACCAATAACTTACGTATCTTATGGATGTATTTAATCTCTTAAAACAAATGATCCATCTAAGAAGGGAAGGTTTGTTTTACTCAATATCTTATCCTACAGTCAACAAAGCAGATGCCCAATACATTTTTTATTCAATGAAATACTTGTTCCAAAATCAGAAAAAGAAAGTATATATAGCAATTATAAACTGCCTAAAGGCCAATCACAACTTCTAATCTTGTTATCATTTTAAAAGAAAATTATTCCAAGCCCAATTCCAAAACATTTTGTTTTTATGAGTCATTCCTATGAAAGCAATTTGATGTTTACTGTGTCCTCCCCATTATTAAGAAATGTGAGCCTGGCTTTGGTGGCACAAGCCTTTAATCTCAGCACTCGGGAGGCAGAGGCAGGCGGATCTCTGTGAGTTCGAGGCCAGCCTGGTGTACAGTGCAAGTTCCAGGATAGCCTCCAAAACAATACAGAGAAACCCTGTCTCAAAAAACCAAAAAAAAAAAAAAGAGAAAGAAAGGTGAAAATCTAAGGTCAAGTTATAATTTCTAGGCATCTGAAGGAGATGCAGCTACTGCTACTTACATTGAGTGGCTCAAGGATATTGAGATGCACCAGGCAGACCATCAGCTTCACCGTGATATCAATTGGCACACTATCAGGTATAGAGCAGGTAACGGTCTCAGCAGCTGGGGAACCATCAGACAAGGCATTCTTATGTGCAAGCTCAGCACAGAAAGCAACCTAAGGCAACTCCATCCTGTATACAGATCTGATTTCCAACGGCTCACAGCAAAGATCTCAGTCAGTGCTCATTCTAGTCAACTCTATTAGCAGCTTCCTGCCTCCTTTAGTCTGTCTTTTATTTGGACTTATCCTGCCCTTTTTCTTAACATTAATATTCTTATTCCAGACATATACAAATTTCCATACTTTTTACCAGACTACAGAGGAATAAAAAGGTAAAAAATGACCAGGATATATGAAACCTCTCTTTTTAAATTCTTGAATTCAAAAGCTTTACTTTAGACTTTACTCTAGAGGGGTTTAAAAAGGGGTTAAGTACTTTCCTGCTTTCTAAAACTTCACTATAGCAAAACAAATTTTTAAAATTCTGGGAAATTAAAGGAATTCTTATCTATATTTATTTCGTAATCTGCGCATTAAACTACAAATCAGTTTGTTTTCCATTTCATAAACTGTACGTATTAGTGATGTGCCTTTAGTAGCAAACTCAAATTTAAGTTACTTACAAACTAAGTAATCTCATCTGTTTTACAGAATTTGCCATTAAGTGACTTTTCTGAGGTAACCCAGTCATAGGAATATGGTTTCATTATGAGACTGTTTAGCAATGAATACCAGCATAGTGACTGATAACACAAATTTAACTTTGGTATTTATTATACACAACTTTCCTACCATGAAAGTTTGCTCACTCAAGACCTAAGTGCCCTGACGACACATACCAAGTCTACTTGACTAAAGGCAGTACCTACAGCATATTCCTTCTGTAGACATCTATGGTCACCCACCTAACCAATAATTGTCATTGTAATGAGCTTTGTGACTTCTAAACTAGGATTCTTCTTAGATATAGGTTCTGTTTTCCAAATATTAGCATTTTGGTTTAGTGTTTAACATGGTCTGAATGTTCATATCCCATAAATGTCATGTACTGAAACCTCATCTCCAACATATGGTATAGCATATGATGGCATTAAGAGATGAGGTCTCTGGAAGATAAGGTCACAAGAGCTCTGCCCTCATGAAGAGGATTCATGTCCTTACAGAGAAGCCTAAGGGAGCTCTGTGTGTTTCTCCTACTTGAGGACACGGCAGATAGTACTACATCAAACCTATGCTACCTTTGTCTTAAGACTTCCAAGTCTCTAGAAGTTTGTTTCTACGTCACCAAGTCTAAAGTGTTTTGATATAGCAGCCCAAATAACTATTTAATGAAGTACACTTACTAAGGATATACTTAGTATAGATGTGTAGATTAACAATGTTGATTTTTAGATCAAATCACAAAGTAAAAGTCAACTTCCTGTTGACTACAAGATCAAGAGATTACAGACACTTGCAAATCACAGTTCAGCACAGTCACAATCTAAACACTAGACAAAGCAGAATTTGGATCAATTATATCTACAAGGTAAGAAGATCACTTAGGAAACCATGAGGAACTGAAACTACAGATGTTGTCTAAAACAAAACATACCTGCTTAGAGGCAACTATTTCAATCAGATAGCTATATCCCAAGGCAAAGTGATTAAACAAGCTAGTTACTTATCAGTTCTCAGGAAGATATTGTGTGAGTGTAAGAGAGAAAGAGAGTGAGAGAGAGAGAATAGTTAGTCCCTGCAGCATATGCAATACATTATTAGATAACAGTATTTATCTTTCAAAAAATGCTTGTCTTGCCAGGTATGGGGCATGTCTATATAATCCCAGCACTTCAGAGGTTGAGGCAGGGAGAAAGGGAGGAGGGAGGAAAAAGTATAGCTGTAAAGTAACTTATTTAGGTCTCAGTTCTAACTGAGGTCATGTGACAGTACGGAAACTAGCAAAGAACCCTTTAGCAGCCCAAACTCCATGTTTCCCACCATCCTCATCCCCTATAGCCTCATTAGTCTCTCAGGCACTCACCCCAGCAGCAGACCAAGACCTGTGCCCTCCTCTGTTTTCTCTGAACAGCAGTTACTACAGAGACTGTTTCACCATTGCTCCTAAAGATTAATGCTTGTTCTATTCAAACTGGTCTTCCCTATCCTATTTCCTTCAAGGACAGAAAAGTCAGAAATATACACATTCCCCCACAACTAGCAGGTCTTTTAAAGAAAAGCCTACTGAACTAGGTTTCCATTCCCAACAACTTTTCACTTCAGTCTTTATCTGACCCTTATCTTGTTTTTGTAAATTAGCACAAATTGATTTAGGTAAGTGAATTAATCTTTCCCATTAAGATGGATCATATTTTAAATGTTTGTGTTTCTGAGATCTCAAAGGACTGCAGCATGATGGAATTACTAAGCATCATCATAACAGGTCAAGAAGGCAGCTATCTGAAGCAGACAATACTTATATCAACGCACTCCCCGTAACTCCCATCAAAATTCTCTCAAACTAAGGATGAAAACACAGGAGTAAGGACACATACTATGACCACAAAAATGATAAATGTGTTACAATTCAGAGTCTAAGTCATACTTGTTAACATTTTCATAGAAGAAGTTAATGGGTGTAGTGCAAAGATCAGGCAGGAGCTGGAAGAGACCCTGGGAACGCACACTTCAGGTACAGCTGATCTGTGATTATGCATCTGAGCTTTCAAACACAAAAGGATAATCATACCTGATGGGGAAGTCCTGTGTATATGTCAATAAAGCACTGTTGGCCAATAAGGAAGCAAGATAGGTGGGACTAGGAGTCCAGGAGGACTCTGGGAAGGAGAAACACAGGGAGTCAAGATGTAACTGCCATAGGGATAAGAAGCCCTCTCCGGTAAGAGAAATACTTAGATTAACAATTATGGGATAAATACTTAAGTCAGAGCTAGCCAGTAAGAAACATGCAAGGCCAACAGCTTCATAATTAATACAGCGTCTTGTGCGTTATTTGGGACTCATGCGGCTCTGGAATCAGGCTGGTGGGAAGGCTTCTCTTTACACATACCAGTTTCTACTTTTTATGTGAACACTACATTTTAAGTAGAATTTTTAACTGTGATCACTTAGAGCCCTTGATCTACTCAGTAACTCTTTTTTCTTCTAAGAATAAAGAGGAGCTGAGTATGGCGATGCACAACTGTAATCCCAGCATTTGAAGGCTCAGGCAGGAGGATTGCCATGAGTTTGAGGCCAGCCTGGGCTACATGGTAAGTTCCAGGTTAGGCTACAGATTAAGATTCCACCTCAAAAAGGGACAAACAGAGCCGGGCAGTGGTGGCGCACGTCTTTAATCCCAGCACTCGGGAGGCAGAGGCAGGCGGATCTCTGTGAGTTCGAGGCCAGGCTGAACCGACAGCCTTCAAAACAATACAGAGAAACCCTGTCTCGTAAATACCAAAAAAAAAAAAAAAGGACAAACAGAATAAAACAATCAAAAGTTAAGAGAAATGGCAAGTTCAAATGGGCATATGAATAAATAAAAGAATTCAAAACATTATTTTTAAGACTGATTATAAACCAAGGGCTATCAATATAGCTCAGTATAGAGTGTTTGTCCTTCAGGCACAAGGCTCTTGGTTTGAGCCCTAGCACGGCACAAACAAAAGAAGAAAGATTAAATAAAAGCCAATATAAGAAGACTAGAATGCTGCTATGGTCATGGTCTGAGAATATTACCAACTCAACACCCAGCACCTAACGAGGGTTATGCACATGAAATTAACTACAACCTTTATTCTCTTCTGAAGTGCCTTCTTCCAAAGTTTCCTTTTCTAGGATAATTCCAGAAAAATCTGTAATTACCTAAAAAAAAAAAAAGGACAAAAAGAGAAATAAAAGTTACATATATAAAACTTTCTTGTGAATACTTATTTCAACTAGTCCTTACAACATAAAATGGCATTTAAAAGGAAGAATCTTTTTGAAATAAGAAATCCTATAGAACATTAGCATTATTATAGCATGTTGACTAAAGCCAAAGATTTATCAATTTGACTACCAACCAACCTGCTTTCTCCAACAAAAATCGCTCTGGTGAGTCCTGCTACCATTGAGTATAGACAGACTTGGGCTTTATAGTGGCATTATCATTTATCATATAATTACATTTCATATTTCACACAGATCTAGAAGTCTATTATTTCCACATAGTTTAGATATATAATTTAGTTTATAATTAAACAACAAGATGCTAATTTCTAAGCATTTCTGCCACAGGAGCACAGGTTTAAACCTAACCGCATGTGAGCATGCCTACCTCCAAAGCTTTGTCATACTGCTTGTTGGAAATATATAATTCAGCTGCTATGTTCACATCTTCCATGGAGACTAAGCCTTGATGTTTTGAGAAAGCTTCTTCAATTATGTTTATAGCTGAAGCACTGTCATTGGCTTCATAATAACTCCTAAAAAAAAGTGAGTGGCAAGTGAATGAATAGTTAATTCTGACCATAAAACTCAATGTCTTGCATAAGCACTCTAACAATTAAATACTTTCATTTTCTTAAAACTTAGGAGGGGGAAGCACTTAAAATTACAGTAGCACGTGCCCTCACTCTCAGAGCAGCACTAAAAGGGTAGAAGTAACAATGCCTACAAAAGGTGACCAAGATGGCTGGAGAGTCACATTAGTGGCAGAGGACTTGCCTAGAATGTGAAAGGCTCTGGTTCACGCCCCAATATTGCATTGTTTTCATCACAAAGAAATCAAAGGTGACAAAACAGACCTAAATGGCTAAAGAGATTCACCAGAATGTCAAGTATTTGCTATGTCAGCACGAGGTCCCAAGTTTGAGTCCCAAGTCCCAAGTAAAAAGTCAAGCATGGTAATAGGTGCTGGGAGACAGACACAAGCAAACCCTGGGGCTCACTGGCAGTCAGGCTAACATAATTCCTGAATCTAGGTTCCAGTTGAGACCCTGTCTCCAAAAAAGGGTAGATAGGTCCTGAGAAATATCAACAAAGGCTGACTTCCACATGCACAGGCACACATACGCATGCACATCTGAAAACAAGAACACATGAGTCAATTAATCCATACTATATTCCATGTAACAAATAACAGAGCTTTGAAGACACACGTCAATGGTACTCTATTTACCTAGCATGCAGAATAAGGGCCATGAGTTCAACTATGGGTCAGGTGGACAGTAGTCACTAAGATTCAAGGAACTTACATCAGATGGTCCAATACTGGAAGTGAATATAGGTCTATAGAAAATTCAAAGTAATTAATGAAGATGTTCAAAGCAAAACCTGCCTACCTATTCATGGCACAGATCTTACCCATTGTCAAAAGTGACAGGACATGGTAAGCGCCTGTTGATGCCAAGACTATCACTATTAATTTGTTTTATTGTTTTCTGTTGGTTTTACTAAAAAAAAAGTGCAATGAAATATGGAATCAGGCCTACCCAAAGCACAAGACAATGGAAATCTCACACTGAGAAGTGTACAAACAAATGACATGAAAGAAAATCAGCAGACCAATTCCAGGAAATAGTACAAAAGACTAACTTCTTCATGATGTCTTTGTTAGAAAAGCAAAAACATTCTAAAAGCCCAAATTTGACATGGGAATACTCAGGAGGCTTCAGTTAGAAGTTAACTATGCACTCTTGTTAAATAAGCTAATGGATCAGAACCAAAACCCTGGATTTTTGTTCCTGGCTTTGTTTTGTTTAATGCCAAGATAAAACTCAAGCTCTTGTGCATCCTAGGCAAGCATAGTACCATTGAGGTAGTTTCCTACTCTGAGAATCTGCTTAAAATTTTAGATTTCTTAATAGCAATAAAATGTCCTATTTGTAAAATATAAAATGATCAGAGCTGATACCGAGAAAAAATACAATTTCACAATGTATTGACAATGTCATAATTCCAAGTGTCTCACTTTCAAAAGTTATTTCCAACTCATTCCCAACATTAAAAAAATTGGCACCCTCTTCTGGGGTGCATTTCTCCCCCCACTCAGCAACAGTCACTCTTGGATCGTTTCAATTTGCCATGTTTCCAGGGTTAGACTCAAACAGCTGATCCAGCCACTCGCTCCCTTGATTTCTGTTGCTAATTACTAAAATCACTCCATTTGTTAATGATATGCAGTTAATGATAGTCCCTAACTTTGTGTAATTTTACTTTTGCTTGGAAAGTTTTATAAAATTAAAGTAATAGATTCATTTTCTTGCTCTTTCTATAAGTTCAATTATTTAAAAGTATGTATTGCTCTGAATTCTAAAACATACAAAACGCTATACTTACATATTTTCAAACCTGTCAGTGATAGGCTAGTAATGTGGGTTGATGTCAGGGCAGGAAAAGGTTTAAATATGGCCACAACATCACTTCACCTATATTATAACAGCGTAGCAGGGACTTGAAGTATAGTAAATGTGAAGAGAGCCTGTACAATTTTCTAGTTACTTTAAATCCACTTATAGTATAGTAATACTAATGTTTAAACTCAGAAATACGCACTCAGAGCAACTAGGAATATGCTTCACCCTGTTTTGTTAAAAGGGCATTTGTGAAAAAGGAGCTAGCCCAAAAAACAGAATTGTGTTCTTTCAGCAGGCTGTGCAGTGTTCAGTGAACACCGGAAAGTAAATGAGGGCACAGGTGCAGCCCTCCATCAAATGACTCCCACCCTGACCCTGCCACTCCAGTAAAACCAGAAGTGAATCTCTCTCTTCCTGACGACCTGAGTCATCCCCAGTTTCTTCATCTCTAGGTCTCCTCCTTCGCCCTTTTGACAATGACGTTATTGCTAAGGGAAAAAAGTGTCTAAGAACTATGAAAGTCACCAATGCCGAGTTCTCATTCTTTGCAGCAGAAAAGTCTGGCATGTGGCAGGCTAGTCTTCTCTGCTTACCAGATTTGAAAAGGCTTGGAAAGAGATTACTCAGCATTCACGACAACCTTCCACAGACAAAGAAAACCAATTCAACCAAGTGCTACAAAGTGGTTTAGGTCCAGGGCCTGCCTGTACCTCACCTTTGCCTTTTGTTTTCAACTGAGTGCATGTGCAGTAAGGCGGGTGTCCTGGAGGACATTTTTAGGGAGAATCCCCTATTTACCATCTTAACCTTATGCATAGTTGGGTGTGCATATGATTAAAATCACATGCATTATAGGAAGGGACATGTGCAGTAAGAAAGTATGTCACCTAATCTATCAGTCAAAATAGAGAACTGTTCAACTATGGCCTTTAACAAACATAACAACCAAACCCCTCTTGAACCCAAAGAGAAAAACTTGGGCACTTGAATACTTTCTCATTCGTGTGACCTGCAGAGTTTCTTTCTGATCTGTTTTTTTTTTTTTTTTTGCTTTGTTTTTGTTGTTGTTGTTTGTTTGCTTGCTTTTGAATGAAGTTTCCTTGCTACTATGTGCACCTTATTTTCAGTTCTTTGGATTAGAGACTAAGACGTTAGAAGCAGCTGACCTAGGCCCACTGTGCTAACATCACCAATCTGTCAAAGATCTCCAGGTACCAACCCTCAGCGCCACATCTCAGTGTTTGCTCCATGGGGCCTGTCTGCCACACTTCATAGGGACGGCCACCCCCCCTCACTGAAGTGCTTCCTTCAGGGAGTCTAAAGTGTCACATTCTGTCTTCACCTCTTCCCTGCGGTGGGCATTTTCTTTTCATCTGCTGGCTGTCTCCTCCTTCCCCCGATGTCTAAATGCTCGAGTAACTCGGGGGGTCAGCGCTTCTTCAGGGCTTTCTGTGACCACCTTCTCCCCCACCCCCTATACACGGCACACATGCATGCACTCCATATCAGCACATCAATCTTTAGCTGCACTCTCAAGTTACACTGAGAATCTGATCACTCTTACTGCCTTCTGCTGTTTCTACCCTGATCATGCTATGCCTTTCTCTCGCAAGGATCATTTCAGTAATTTTCTGTCTTCCTGTTTCTGCCCTTACCACTGTTCAATTTTTGCTCAGACAAGCAACCAAAACTGATGAACTTAAAATTTAAGTCAAATCATGTCATTTTTCTACTCAGACCCTTCATTGAGCATAAAAGCTACAGTCCTCACCACAGGCCACAAGGGCCAGCTGCTCGATCCTTCGGGCCTTCTCCACTGTGCTTACCGTAATACATCAGCTTCCGTCTTGTCCCTGCACATACCTGTTTCCTCTTCCCTAAGTACTGGCTCCCTTTACCCAGTACTACCAGAAGGCAGAGAACTGAGTGTGGTGATACATCGTTACGATCTAATAAAGCTTGCCTGGAGTTCAGAATGCGAAGCTAGCCAAGCCATAGAGGCCAGGCAGTGGTTGTACCCACCTTTAATCCCAGCAGCCACACTGGTTAGCCACAGAAGCTGGGCAGTGGTGGTGCACGCCTTTAATCCCAGCACTAGAGAGGTATATAAGACAGGAGCAGGATCTCAGGGTGGATTAGTCTCCAGCCACGTTGAAGACAGGATCATCCCAGCCTTGGTAGAGATAACAACTCTCTGGTGGCTTGGCCGATTTGCTTCTCTCCTCTCCAGCTTGAACCCAATATCTGTCTCTGGGTTTATATTATTCATGCTATATCCCGTGTCCTTCACTCAGTTTTTAAAATAACATACTCTATACCTTGTACTTCTTTCCCTGTTTAATTTTTCTTCATCACTTATCAATGTGATATATTAAATATCTATTACTTGATTCCTGCTTATCTCCTCTCACAGGGCTATAGACTCCATGAGGGCAGAGAACTTTTAATGGTTGCTTGATAGCTGTCATCTGGCTCCCTGTACAATGCCTATGTAAGATACAATCAATGACTATTTCTGGAGGGCAAATGAGAACCAAAGCAAAGCCTGATCAGTCAGCTGGCCATTGCTACTCTCCACACAGATTACAGTACACCTGAAAACAAGCTGATCATCATGAGCCACCCAGCTGACACTCCTCAGTCTCTTAGACCATGCGCTACAGTAACCACCCGGCTGACACTCCTCAGTCTCTTAGACCATGCGCTACAGTAGCCACCCGGCTGACACTCCTCAGTCTCTTAGACCATGCGCTACAGTAACCACCCGGCTGACACTCCTCAGTCTCTTAGACCATGCGCTACAGTAACCACCCGGCTGACACTCCTCAGTCTCTTAGACCATGCGCTACAGTAGCCACCCGGCTGACACTCCTCAGTCTCTTAGACCATGCGCTACAGTAGCCACCCGGCTGACACTCCTCAGTCTCTTAGACCATGCGCTACAGTAGCCACCCGGCTGACACTCCTCAGTCTATTAGACCATGCGCTACAGTAGCTGCAAACTTAACTGCAGATAATCTGGAAGATGCTCTGTGCTCAAAACATACCATCAGCCATCAACTTAGAGTTGCTTCCCTGACTAAACTTGTAAAAATATATCTACTGCTCCCATATAACTGTCCTGAGACCGTGAGGGGCAGTTCACAGCTAAACAGCATCAGAATACGAGTCACAGAGAGAACAGGTTAATCCTAATATGCCAAAATTAAGACAGTTAACCCAGGATGAAATGTTGCATTGTGCTCTTCAAACAGAAAGAAGAGCAGTAAATGTCACTTCATCAAATGCTTTCTGCTTTGTTCTACTTCACAACATATCAAAGAAGTAGTATTCTAAAGAAAGGACATGTGACAGTAACAGGTCAACACATAACAGACTACTCTAGAACTGACTCAAGATGATTATAGAATATTGCAGACCACAAAGATTTCATTGACACATCTGCAACAAACATCATTTTTAAAAAGTCACAAATAAATACAACTTCAACTAAGTCACAGAAACGTGGGAGTCTAATCCCTTCACAGAACACACCTCATTTTTCAGCTTCTGAGCCCTAGAATGCAATGTCACATACAAAACTTTCTAAGCAATCACACAGTTGACTTAGAGACCAATATGCACTAAATTTAAAAACGCTATAATTGGACAAATATAAAACAAAAGACAAAATTTTCTTTGAACCTCAATGCAAAATACATTCTATTTCAAATAGCTTTGATTTGCAAAATGACTAATAAAGACATGTGTGTGTATATATATAATTTCACCTCAAACTTACTTTGCCATATCTCTGGCCAACTGCATAAAACGTTCTCCATCAGATGGAGACAAAAGATTTAAAATACGCCTATAACCATCCATGGCCATTTTATGATCACCCATCTGTTCATAAAGGCTTGATCTCTCCCACAGGTAACGAACATTAGTAGGTTCATATTTAAGAGCTAGAAAGAAAAGAGAAATAAAAAATTACATTTATCAAAAGAAAAGTGACTTACTTCAAAAATGTAATAAACACTTTCCCACTGGAAACAAAAAATTATTCTGGGATAAATCTATCTTCACAAGAATTCCTGACTGGGCTTGGTCTAAGACCAGACTTGAACTTCTACAATAATCCTCATTTGGTTACTCAATTCACAAAAGTTAACAGACTGAGAGCAAAACTGAGCTCAGTGGGAAATCTAAAGGTTTGTGCTATATTCAACACAATATAAAGTCACAAATAAACATGAGAACAGAGGGCTCCAGATATACTGTAACAGATTGTAAGGAACAAATTTGGGCAAGGAGCATAACTCAACAAATACAAGTAACAACTATTATGTAACTAATAGTTGTGGCAACACAACCTCTATACCTAAGCTCCAGGAAAATCACAGATGATGAAGTGGAAAGATCATAGATCCAGAGGCCTAGGATACCTGCTGTGAAATAGTATTCCCTAGACATAACATGGAAAATGCACCCATAAACCTTTAACAATAGGGTTTCCTGAACAAGACCAGCATAATGACAACACTAGTGGATATGCCGACACAGATAAGGAAAATTCCACATGCCTATCTCTAAAAGATCTACAGGTGATCAATGATCTGAGAGAAAGAATCTGTCTCCTCCAGGAACAAGGGAGGTATTTTCCTATCCCAAGTGGTTAGCCCTGGACACATGCACATATAAGTAGGGCTAAATGGATTTACCAGGAGATAGATATAGATAGATAGATAGATAGATAGATAGATAGATAGATAGAGATATGCATACACACACATACACATTTATGTATACTCATGCACTGTCTATAAAGAGGTGAACATGAATTTGGAGGGCAACATGAGAGGAACTGAAGGGGAGAGGGAAGGCAGGAGTGACAGAGATGCAGTTCTCATGTATAAAGTCCTCCAAAAATTTTAATTTAAAAAAGAGAGAAATAAATACATTTGAGTTAACACAAAATGTATTAATGACCCATCATATAGCATCTAACGAAACAAAACAAGAAAAATAGTTCTTCCCATCTGCACAAGAAAGACGTTATTACCTTTTGTATAACAAAAAATAGCCTGCTTAATATTATCTTGTTCCAGAGACATTTCTGCCAGCCTAACCCATTCTTCTGTGTCACTGGGATTTAAGTGTGCAGCAATCAATTCAAACTGCAATGATTTCTCCATGTCACCTTGATCCTCGTATATCATGGCAAGTGTAGAGAATGGCTCATAAGCCAAAGGAGCTATAATAATAAAAAATAACATAAAATAAACTTCATTGGCTAACGGAAAGGGCTAAAGCTGGTATTGATACTACAGTTCAAACTACAGATTTTTTTCCTAATATCTAAATCATTCCAACAATTATAAAAACCAATCAACAGAACTTTGAAAAATACCAAACACTTTATTATACTTTGTTTTCAAACAGTTTTAGCCATTTATAATTCATTTACTTATTTTCAAGATGAACTCTTGCTACCTAGCTCAGGCTGACCTCAAACTTAATATCTAGATCAGGTTGGTCATAAACCTAAGATACCCCCCTAGCCTCCCTAGTTCTAGAAATTAAAAACAAGCACCGAACATCATTATTAAAGCATTATTTTCACAAAATACAATTTCATGAAAATCCTCCTTTCTACCATACCTTTCTACCATACTAAGGCCAAAAATGGCCTAAAAACTAGAGGATTTCACCCAAGAAGTACCAGTCACATCCGTGTGGTTGAACTTGCACTATTTCAAACACCTGTATCATAGAGGATGCTTGTATACAGGGTACCCAAACAGCACCCCAGTCTAAGATGTCAAATACAATGGTTAATCTATAGTTTTAAAACACTATGTACGGAAAAATTTCAAAAACTTCTGGAGATTAAAGCCAAAGTGTTTTCCAAAATAAAAAGCTAAGCTGAAAGAAATAACATTGGGAAACAAGAACTAAGCAATAATATATCCTACGATATTCTTGGTTAATATTATTTCTGATGAACTGGGTTAATATGTAGTAGCCACGCAAAGAGTAATCATGAAAATTATATAAGATTTCAAAAAGGACCAAGTCTAACTCAAGGGAAATGGCACAGTATTGAACTAATGCTTTAGCAGTATAACAACTACCCAAAACACCTTGCAGACAAAATTGATAACAATCAGAACAGTGATGTGATACAAGCAATTGGTCACAATCACTATTGAAGATGTCCTCCAACATATCTATGATGTGCCATCTAATGGAGAGGTAAAATGGCAAATTTAAATGCATCTTTACTAACACATAGATTAAAATAATTCAGCACTGCCTAATCTAGAAAATGGGACAAGCCAGGTGGTGGCAGTGCACACCTTTAATTACAGTGATTGGGAGACAGAGGTAGGAGGATCTCTATGAGTTTGAGGCCAGCTGAGTTTACAGAGTGAGTTCCTGGACAGCCAAAGCTATAGAGAAACCCAGTCTCAAAAAACTAAAATAAATAAATAAATGATCAATAACTATCAAATTCTGAAATTTATCAGAATGTTCTTCAAGTGGTATTAACATAATAGACTCACCATTTAAATATATACATGCATATATTTATTTATTAAAGGGCTGAGGTCATAACTCCATTGGTAGAACACTTGCCTAGAGTGCAGAAAGATGGATTCAGTTCACATCATAATAGAGACAGATGGATGAATGGATAGATAAACTACCTGACTTAAAAAGATTAATGCTGCCGGGCGGAGGTGGCGCAAGCCTGTAATACCAGCACTCAAGAGGCAGAGGTAGGCGGATCTCCGTGAGTTCGAGACCAACCTAGTCTACAAGAGCTAGTTCCAGGACAGTCTCCAAAGTCACAGAGAAACCCTGTCTCAAAACCGCTCCCCTCCCCCAAAAATTAATGCTATAAAAGTCTTAAAAAGCCTAAAAAGAAGATCTGAAAGATATTACTGATTTGTACTGAATCACACACCTGGTTTCCATCTTCTAGTAACTCCTAGCATTGTGAAAAGTGGCAGCTTACCGTTACCACAGTCACCTCTCACTTCTAAATGTATTTTATATAACTAGCCCAATCAGATTCTTCTCCATTTGCTATAAAAGTCAACCAGTTAACTATTATCAATAAGGTTCCTGCAGGAAATACCTTGTCTTATGATTTCCATGCACATCAATATTGCCTCTTCATGTTCTCCTCGAGCAAAGCGAATATTGGCTTCACCCATGAGACCTCTCAGGGCTCTGGGAAGTTTACTCCGAGGCCTCTTCTCCTGTCCAGAAGGAAAACAACAAGGAGATTAAGATAGAGTATAGCTCATATTTCAATTCCAAACACACATATAAAACATAATGGGAACTTCTCTCTAAAACTATATCTTCTAAATTCATAATAGGTACTTAGTGATAATTCTGATGCCTTAATAGTTAAGTCTAATCACACAAAGCAAGCTAAAATTCAAATGCAGGAAAGAACAAAATTATTTTATCATACTCTCCAAAGAGGAACACCAAACAAAGGAAAAACAAACAAAAACAAAACAAACCTTCCTACAGTTGAAAGTTCAAAGCACAATTAAATACAAACTGCCAAATGGTCAGGAATTACTAAACCGCTGATCATCATACACTAAATGGATCCATCCCATTACATACCAGGACACTTACTAAAAAGTCCTTCTTCTTGGAAATTCATCAAAATAAATTTGGTAAACAAACAACAACAACAAAAATCCCACTGAGTATAATATAGATTTTTCAGTAGCAAAACGACAGAACGCCTCAACATACGAACAATTAAGTCGGAAATAAAATTCTCTAAAATGAAGCACAAGAAATGCATGGCAATTCATGACACACTCAAAGAAAAGAAAATGTCTAGACATACACTTAACTCTACAATGAAGTTTCAAATCTCTGAAGAGACTAAGGAAGACACCAGAAGATGGAAAGATCTCCAATTTATGGACTGGCAGAATATTGTAAAAATGACCATTCTACCAAAGGCAATTTACAGATTCAATGCTATACCAATCAAAATGCCCTAAACAGAAGCAGGGAAAGAAACCCAATAAAAACAAAAATATCCTAAAGCTCATATGGAACCACAAAATAACCCAGATAGCCAAGGCAATCCTAAGAAAAAAAGTCAATGCTGGAGAGATTAGTCAATGATGGAGAGATTACCATTCCATATTTCAAGATATATTACAGACTTATAACAATAAAACGGAATAACACTGAAACAAAACACACACATTGGCCAATCAAACAAAAGAGAAGACCCTAACATTAGTCTATCCAACTACAGCTGTCTGATGTCAAAAACATACACTGGAGAAAAGACAACATCTTTAACAAAATATGCTGGGAAAACTGGATGTCTACACATACAATAAAATTAAACCCTACACAAAAACTAACTCCAAATGGATCAAAGACCTCAATGTGAAACCTAATACTGAAACAGCTAGAAGAAAACATAGGCAGTCCCACATGATACAGGTGTCAGAAAGGACTTCCTGAACAGGATCCACTTTCAAAGAAATTAAGGCCAACAACTGACAAGTGGGACCTCATAAAACCAAAAGACCTTTGTACAGGAAATAATCAACCAAGTGAAAAGGAATCCAAAGCAGTGGGAGAGACTGTCAACTACACATCTGACAGAGAATTAATATCCAGAATAAGTAAAGAACTCAAAAAAAGTCAAAAAAACAAATAACTAAAAAAAAAAAAATGGGTTTGAAATCTGAACAAAGAGTCCTCAAAAAGAAATACAGGTGGCTAAGAAATATCTCAAGAAGTGTTCATCATCCTTATCTATTAGGGAAATGCAAATCAAAACAACTTTGAGATTTTTATCTTACCCTAATCAGAATGGCAAAGATCAACAAAATGACAGAGAACAATGTTATCAAGGATGGGGGAGAGGGAGCGTGGTGGGACCTTTCAATGTTGGTGGGACTGCAAACTGGTCCAGCCACTCTAGCAATCAATGTGGAGAATCCTCAAAAAGCTAAAAGTGTAGCATATGACTCACCTATACCATTCCTTGACATACCTAAAGCTCCTACTCCACAGACAATTCCTCAGCCATGTTAACTATTGCTCTATTCACAATAGATAAGAAATAATGTAAATTTCCTTGAGCACATGAATTAATAATGAAAATGTAGTATATATGCACTAAGGAATACTATTCTTTATGAAAAATGAAATCATAGCATATGCAAGTAAATGGATGAAACTAGAAAATATTATGTAAGGTAAGAAGCCAGACCCAGAAAGATAAACATCATGTGTTCTCTCTTAGTTATGGATCCTAGCTCCAAGTCTTCAAAAGTGAGCATACAACCTGGAGTAACTACAAAAACATGGAACATTTATCTAGTAGGAGGGGAGGGTTGTTATATCTAAAAGCGAGTAACAGGACACAGGTGCTATGAAAGGGAAATAGGAAAAGCAGGTTAGCAAAACTTTCCCAGGAAAGAAGGGTAAGAAGAACAAAAGATGCTTGAAAAAGCCATATGAATCATAGTAAGTAGTTTCTGTTTACTTAAAACATACATATGAAAGAGAGAGAGAGAGAGAGAGAGTCAGTGTGTATGTATGTTTTTAATGAAGTTGCATCAAGAAGGGTGGTGATAATGCTCCCCCCAAGAATAATAGTTTATCTAACAAAAAGCCCAGTGACAGGTACAGGAGGTATCCCTTCGAGTTGTTGGTCAGAGTAGTATGAAAGATCCCACCCCCACAAAAGAATGAGATTTTGCCATGGCCCTTGGTTGCCTCCAAGAAGTCAAAGTTAAGACTTTCTTGCTGAAGACAAAACACACTTCAGACAGAGGATGAAGGAACAGAGCTAGCACTACCCTGAAAGTCTACTCCTAGAGAACTAGCTCTCATAACTAAAGGTTTTTTCCTTTGCCAAAGGATAAAGGCAATAAACAGTCATACTTAGCTGTACAGCCTAAAACTACAACTATGACCAGAACAGCAAGAAATTCTGAAAAGCGCATAATGGCACCTATATATACTGGGGTAACCAACAGCCATCTTCCTGGATTCATCCCATTCAACAAGAGGGAATGCAAGCCTGGTACTTTAAACTTGGACAACTACTCATGGCTGGTGAAGCCATGGAACCAGAGGACACACTTTCCTACACCAGAATAACCTCTATGTTCTAATCCTTATATCCACAGTAAGTGCTTCTCTCACCCCTCATCAAAGAAATGTCTTTTTGCAGCAGATGAGCAGATGAGAAAGCTACAAGTGGTCACAATGGCAGTCTACAACACAACTCCTACATCTAAGGCTCAGAAACGTTGCAGAAAGGGGGTTGAAAGATTTTTAAAAGCCAGAGAACCATGATGTCTGCTGAGAGACTGTCTTCTATCTATGACAGTAAAACTACCCATGAAATCAACAGTATGGTTACCTAAGTAATAACTGAAAAATGACAGTACTAATTGACATGCCAATGGGAATGGGAATAATCTCACAGCCCCAGCCCTAGATGAAGAGCTACAGCAATCAGTGTGCTGAGAAAGGGAGGGAGGATTGGATTAGTAACCCTGATAGGTCACTAAGCCCCAGCTGTTAGCATATACATAAGAGCAACATTAAATGAACTCAGCGAGTTGTACTTACATATTCTCTCTCTCTCTCTCTCTCTCTCTCTCTCTCTCTCTCTCTCTCTCTCTCTCTCTCTCTCTCTCTCTCTCTCTATCTCTCCCCCCCCCCCTCTCTCTCTCTCTCTCTCTCTCTCTCTCTCTCTCCCCCCCTCACACACACACACATGCACGCACCAAGAATAAGAGATCATGACTTTAGAGGTGGCACAGAGATGACACAGGAGGGGTTGGAGGAAGAAGACAGGGTGGGAAATGATATAAATACAGTACACATACATGAAATAAAAATAAAAGTCTAAAAAGAAAGAAATGAGACAGTTGCCTCCCAGTTTTTGTTCTCACTGCTGAACTCCCCAACTATAACTGGAGCTTCCTTTCAATGACTATATCACTTTCTTACATTTTTATAAATAATAAAATAATGAACACCTTACTTTCATCATTTTTTTGGTTTCACGGTTGAGAACCATCTCCAACACAAACACATCGCCTGCAGTGGGTTGCTCGGGTGTCTCCTCCTCCTCCTCCTCTTCTTCCTCTTCCTCTTCATCATCTTCAGTCTCTCCAAGCATGGAAGCAAAGACTTTGTGAACTGACTTACTCACTCCATCTGATGTTTCTCCTAAGGAAACATTGAGGGTTGGGGGGGGAGAATCAGTAAAATGACTTTAAAATCTTTCTAGTTTACACAAGCTCCTAACCACAGCAACAACCAAGCTGAAAGCAATGACAAATGAACACCTTCCTCACTCCCCAAAAAAGAAAAGAAAGCTATCACAAAGAAATGTCTTTTTACTCTGCAGGAATGGCCAATTCATCCTCTACGCCTCATCTAGACATACAGGCAAAACCAACAGCACATACAGCGAACGGGTAAGAGTGGAGAGGGAAACATTTTTTAGCTACAAGGCACAAATGTAAGACCTAAGGAAGCCTAGTGGGAGGATGACCGGTAACTGAAACCTGAGAGCCCTGAGCCTGAAGGCAGGATGGGAGCATATCACCAACTGATCTAATCAATTGGTGAGCTCCAGGTTCAGTGAGTGTGGCGGTTTAAATAAGAATGGTCCCCACAGGCTCATATATTTGAATGCTTAGTCTCCAGGAAGTGGCACTATGTGAGAAGGATTAGGAGGTATGGCTTTGTTGAAGTAGGTGTGGACTTTCTGGAGTATGTCACTGGGAGTGGGCTTTCAAGTTTCAAAAACCCACCAGGTCCAGTCTCTCTCTCTCTCTTTCTCTTTCTCTGTCTCTGTCTCTCTGTCTCTGTCTGTCTCTGTCTCTGTCTGTCTCTGTCTCTGTCTGTCTCTGTCTCTGTCTGTCTCTGTCTCTGTCTGTCTCTGTCTCTCTGTCTCTCTCTCTGTCTCTCTCTCTCTGTCTCTCTGTCTGTCTCTCTCTCTCTCTCTCTCTGCCTACGGATCAGGATATGGTTCTTAGCTACTTCTCCAGCACCACACCTGCCTGCCACCAAGCTCCACGCCGTGATAATAATGGACTAAGACCTGAAACTGTAAGCAAGGCCCCAATTAAATACTTTCTTTTATACATGCTGCTGTGGTTATGGTGTCTCTTCACAGCAATAGAACAATAACCAAGAACGCCCGTCTCAAAACAACATACTGGAATGTGATAAAAGGAGACACCCAATGTCCACCTCTGGCCTCCATACATGTATACATGGGCACACATGCACACAATGCACACATGCTTAAGGAAATAAAATTATCATTATTCATAGAAGACATGATCATATTGTATACAACCCAAAAGATTGTACATACAAAGTGTCAGAATACACGGTTACCTGGCAAAGTTATTTTAAAAAGGAATTGAACCCAGGGCCTTGCATATACTGTGCTAGATAAGTATCAACACTGAGTTGTGTCCTTGGCTCCCCTTTCTCTTTGAGACCGAGTCTCACTAAGCTCAGGCTGGCCTTGAGCTCATTCTGTAGCTCAGAATGGTCTTTAACCTGGGATTCATCTATCTCAGTCTCCCTAGTAGTGGGATCGCAGTAAATCAGCAATAATGAACTGGAGATGAAATTAAAAGGCCCAGTATGTGTGGTAATTAGGAAATGACCTTAAAAGCTTGGTATTCAAGAACATCAAGGAGGAAAAAAACACGATTCTAGAGCCCTCCTCTTTCCAATACATAGATTCTCTTGTCCAAAGTCATCTTTTGTCTACTCTGAATGCATGCTTACACTACTAACCCTTCCTGAGGAACAGGAGCATCTTAGCTCTAAAGGACTGACAGGATGACGTCAGCTGAGGCCAGCCAGTTCTTATCCACCAGAAATGGACTCAGCTGATCCTATTTCCACCCCCTTTTCCCTCGTGGAAGGCCTTGAATAGTAAGGCTGGCAGTCACCAGTGGTATTGCTGCTGTAAGTGTACCCCAGAGACTGTCTACTGAAGAGCTCACCTTTCCTTAAGCAGCCCCTTCCCACCCCACTCGCCTAGAAGACATTAACCTCAATCCTGTCTCCTTGTCTCTTCTTCCAACATGGTCCAGAAACTCAGGAATAAAGTGTGAATTTTCCCTGCAAAGGTTTGCTTGCTCCAAAAGAAAAGTACTACACAAAACTGGAGCTCAGTTGGGCTTACCAGTCAGACCCCTAAACTGATGCTACATTCTAAGTGATACCAGCAACCCAAATGATTTGACAGAGACAAATGAATACGATCAGTCATCAGCATTCTGATCATTAGACATACACATCAATCACTAGGAACTGATAAATATCTGTACTCATTTAGGCTATGATGGGCGTAACTAGTCCAGATGTACTAACCAAATATAATATCCGGATATGAAAAGCCAAGAACTGTGTCCTACTTTGCTGTCTGTCGCTGTGATAAAACAGTGACTAAAATCAACTTAAGGAAGAAAGGGCATATTTGGCCAACATCCAGAAAAGCCAGAGCAAACCATGGAGGAACATTGCTCTCCAGCTTGTTTTCCAAAGCTCGCTAAGATTGCTGTCTTAGACAACCAGGGACCGCCTGGCCACGAGTGGCTCCACCCACAATGGGCTGGGCTGTTGGGCCCTCCCACATCAATCAATAATCAAGAAAATGGCCCACAAACATGCCTACAAACTGATAGGTCCCTGTGCCTAGTCTGTGCCAATTTAAAAGCATCCCTGTGTGGTTGCTAGAGTCAGGCAGCATACTAAAATACCTATGATGTGTGTGAAGTCCTGTCCACGCAGGTAAGTTTGTACAATTTGGTATGGTCCAGAAGAAATCTCCCAGTGAGAAGGTCAATTTAGAAAATGAAAATAAAAAGCCCTAAATAAATTCTGGCATCAATTTTAAACCCCCCAACACTGGAGCTATACCAAAACAACCACCATATTTTAAACTGTTAAATCAACAGTTTAGAAAAATAAATATTAAGTAGATACTGATAAAACAGGTAATTAAAACAGACTAAACAGACTATCAATACAACAAAAGCAAAAGATGTTTTCACTTTAAAGCTGGCAGCAAATAAACTCAACACACCTTCATTGGCATCTTTGTCCTGGGATTTGGCAGAGTCGATCCCTGATGATGATGGGACTTCAGAATCATCTGGGTTTCCTTGGGGTGATGATTTTCCTTTTTCCTGAAGACTCTGTGATTGAAAATTAGTTAAACCGCTCAAAAACTAATGCAGATTTAACTCACCCGGCCTGGGACTGGGCATTTGCGTTATCTTTATAAAACTTGAACTTCTACTTGTGGGATTTGGAATCTAAATTTGAATAGTTTCAGACTATTTCAAAGTATTTAAGTCTTAGCCGGGCGTTGGTGGTGCACGCCTTTAATCCCAGCACTCGGGAAGCAGAGGCAGGCGGATCTCTGTGAGTTCGAGACCAGCCTGGTCTGCAGAGTGAGTTCCAGGACAGCCTCCAAAACAATACAGAGAAACCCTGTCTCAAAAAACAAAAAAACAAAACAAAACAAACAAACAAACAAAAACCACAGGGAGCTTAGTGTTATGATAAAGCTCGAGGAAAACTTGGCGGATTCAATGGCAGGTGAGGTTGACCAAGGCGGAGGGGCAAACATGCCAGGCAGACAGAACTTAAGAAGTTTTCTTAGAAAGGGGAGGGAAAGGGGAAGGAAAGAGAAAAGAGGTAAAGAGACAGAGAAAGGACAGAAGAGATGAGGCAAATCCTGTCTGCCCCAGGGGAACAGCAGAAAAGAGAGTTTAAGTGGACGGGGTCTTTCTTTTAAAGAGGTCCTTTCCAACTGTCTTCAGACTATGCAATCATAGGACCCAGGGCTGACCAGGGTACTGCCTGAGTGCATTCTGCCAGGTGACAGGGGCAGGCCAGCATAATGCCTGAATCCTTATACTTAGTCCATGAAACAGTAAGACGCTCCAGGCTCACTTAAAAAGCCAACAAGACTATGTTCCCTTGGCCTTCAAACAAGTGAGAACATTGGGGGAGGGGTTGAGGGGGCTTCGAGACAGGGTTTCTCTGTAGCTTTGGCTCCTGTCCTGGACTAGCTCTTGTAGACCAGGATGGTCTCGAACTCAGAGATCCGCCTGCTCCTGCCTCTCCAGTGCTGGGATTAAAGGCGTGCGCCACCACCGCCAGGCAAGGTGCAAACATTTTCAAAGCTCAGAAACTGATTAAAATTTGAAATACAAAGTCAGAAGATGACCTTGTTATCTAAGATAACTTTTATGTCTAAGATAAAATTACACCGAGACTCCTCAAAAACAGGCACTCCAGGGGTCCAGGGGTGTAGCTCGGAGGAGGGACGCTCTGTTCAGCAAGTTGGAGGCCTTGAGGTTGGTCCCTAATTCCTGTGTACAAATGATACAAACAAAAGGCCCTACCCACAGTGACAACCTAGCGGCAAGACGAGGTTTAGGATTCAGGGAAGTCAAGACTACCCTGGCTCCACTTAGCAGGAGATCATTGGGCTATCGTCGAATTAGCACGGGGGGAGGTTAGCGCTTTTGAGAGGGGGGATGTCTTGAGAGGCGCTGAGTTCCGGGGTGCGGGTAGAAAGCGGAGTTTCTGGGGGAGGAAGAAGCTGGGGTTTCCCCCGCCCACCCTGAGCCCCGCACGCCGCTGTTTCGGGAAAATAAGACCGAGGAGCCCCGGGGCCCAGCGACTCACTTTCTTCTCCCGGGTTTTCCTCTCTTCTCTGCGCCTTTCGAACTCTTCAAAGGAGATTTTCCCTTCTAGGTAGTCGATAAGTTCCGGGCTGAACCCCGACATGTCTGCGGGGCCGAAGCGGGGGAAGCGGACCGGGTAAGCGGGAACACCCGGGCTCTACCGGGCGCCACTAAAAGAGGCGTCCGCCGCAGAAACCTCCCCGGGCGGCGCTGCGGCCGCATACTCGGGTTCCGCCGACGCTCTGGGCCCCGGGCCTCTACCTGCAGGCAGAGGGCTATCCAAAGGCACCTCAGGGGCCAGCTTCCCTTGGGCTGCCCGCTGAAGAAGACTTTAGGTCTGGGATGCAGCACGGGCCAGAGCGTTTGCTTGGGTTTCTAGCCCTAATGTCAATCGGCTTTTCTGTCCCAAACACTCAACCTTTTAAAGGGAATGAGATTACTCACATAGGATGGCTATTCTTTTGTCTATTACATATTACATACATCTCTCAAAATGATCCTTATAAACCTATGAGAGGGGGAAAATGGTTTAAGAGAAAGGTGTGGGGAGGATAAGAGAACACAAGGGATATGAAAAGGAGAAGGACAACACCTGAGGTGGAAAGGTGGGGGGGCGGTTACTGAAGTGAGGAAAGAGTGAAGGTGAGGGTCAACCATGCATATGCCACGCACACACGGGGGAGGCATGGGGGGTATTTTCAACTCCTATGCGCTCCTGTGTTTTGAGTCTTATCTTGTGTTGTAGGTATGTCTTTGTCTTGTTCTATAACCTATGAGAACATTAGCTTATGTGTCATAAACCTGACTAACCTAATAACATACACTCAAAACAGATTTGTGAATCAAGTTGAATGAAACTAAAAGAGGCTTTGGAATTTTGGGCAAAGGAGTTGAGCTCAGCCTACTCCTGACTCCAGAGACAGGCTACGGGGAGCTTACTTCTGACCATCTTTAGGATAATCCAAGTGAAGGGTGACAGGATCAGAGTTAGGACCAGCAAGATCGAGACTGCCAGAAGACAGAAAAGTATCTCAGTTAGGAGTCACTGTTTCTCTCAAGGAGAAGGATCGTCAGACATGAAAACTTACAGACGCAGATGGAGTGTGTTAATGTAATCCCCAGAAATTGCTATGAGGGTTACTCCCCTGAAGTCTTCAGGCAGTTGGGGAACTGTGTCTAAGAAGTTAGGGCTGTTGTCAAGACTAACTTGAAGAGGAAAAGAGAACAAAAGAGAAGAGGGGTGGTTCCCAGAAAGGAAACACTCAAGGCATAAGTACTTAAGCTGGTTTCTGTGCTGCTGACTGACTGGACTATGAAAACGACAAGTCAATAGATGCAGATACACATTAAAGAGAAAGGGGGGTTTCAGACAGAGGTAGAAGGAGATACGTTCTTCTTATGACAATCTTCAGGACAGAGGTCAGAATATAGCAGAATGTCTTCAAATTTAACTTGTTTTTTTCTTTTTCTACTTCCTTGTAGTGATTTGTCCGTGGATGAGTCAGAGACAGCCACATTACCTTAAGATGGAGCTGAAGTGTTACAGCAGTAATGAAAATACCAGGAAGAAACAATTGGGCCTTTCAGACTGATTTTTGAGACTCAAAATGGAAAGGTCTAAAGGAAGCAGAACATTGAATTTATGCCATGACAATTGATTTACAGAGGTCAGAGAGGTGACTCTATTCTTTTTCTTGTTAGGGGAGGACACAGAAGTTGTGATGCTCCTGAAGAGGCCATTTTTCCATGGGCCTCTCACTCTTCTGCAGAAGTTTGTGGGCCACTCTCCTGCACTTCAGCTTTGGAAATCAGACATGTCATTCTGGGACAGGGAGCATACTTATTTTTTCTTTTTTGAGTTAGGGTCTCTCTCTCTCTCTCTCTCTCTCTCTCTCTCTCTCTCTCTCTCTCTCTCTCTCTCTCTCCTCCCCTCCTCTCCCTTCCCTTCCCCTCCCTCCTATCCCTGACTGTCCTGGAACTCACTATGTAGACAAGAATGAATTTGACTAGATTCACCTGCCTCTGCCTCCTGAGTGTAGGGTTTAAAGGTGTGCAAAAACACACCTCCTAGATATCTTTTCTAATCGCTATAATATACTATTTCCCTCCAAGGCAAAAAAGTTGGATCTTTTCCCCCTAGCGATCTCATAATAAGAGAATTTCCTACATTTTGAGCTCTTCAGCTTTGGTGGAAACACATCTATTTCCAGTATAACTCTGGACCCATGTTCACATGCCTCCTTCAATAAATCAGGACTAAGAACCCAGTGAGAGTATGAGTCATGCTCCCTGCCACACCTGAGTCATTGGGTCAGTTGTCTCTGTTTAGGATCTTCATTGTCTTCCAGGATTGGGGGAAATGTAGAAGGATAGTATTTTGCAAGTAGGAGAAAAATTGCAATGCTCTTAGAAGCTCTTGACCACACTAGATCCAGAACAAGGGATAATGGCCATATCATGGAAATGAATTCCGTGTTGAAGAGGAGCAAAGTCAGGGTGGAAAGTTTGCCATGGACCTATACAGAAATGCACCAAAGGACTCTTGACAGTCTACGGCACTTGAAGTACATTTGCTTCCACTAGAGGAAACACTTCAACTCTGTGCCTCCTCAGTACTAGTTCCCTTTCCTGTGGGCTTTAGAAATGTGTGTGAAGGGGTTCTGGGTAGCAAAATGATAGAATTGAAGGAGGTTATGACTGCACTGTCTAAGGAACAAGTGTGCAAATGGTCATCTGCCAATAGTGCTACCTTTATAAAATTAAGCCCAGTATGGGACACGCAGACCCCTGGGGGAGGGATTTCTAAGCTGAAGATGCATACACCTGCCCTGACATTTACAAGCTCATAACTAGAGTGTCTCCTGCGGGTACCTGAAGACAGAGTTTCTGTGCCTCCTGGTTCCACAGCTGTTTAGCCCCAAATAAACACACAGAGGCTTATATTAATCAGAAATTGTTTGGCCAATGGCTCAGGGTTCTTATTGGTTAGCTCTCTCTTAATTATTAACCCATTTCTATTAATGTAACTATTTCCACGTGATCTCTTCTTACCGGAGAATCTTGCTCCCTCAGCAGCTACATGGCATCTCTCTGGCAGCCTCTCTCTTCATCCTCTTCCCAGAATTCACCTTGTCTGATAGCTCTGCCTATACTTCCTGCCTGTACTGGCCAATCAGTATTTTATTCATCAATCAATAAGAGAAACATATATACAGAAGTACATTCTCCCATCAGGTACCCATTAGTTTCGAGGACTCTGAAATTAATAAGCACTTGCTGGGATTAGCAGTGGTGCTGAAAAGGGGAAAATGGTCTCTAGTTCCTACTCCAGAACTGCATAGACATGAGAAGCCCCTCACCTAGCCATTTACCTGAATAAGTTGCTACACTTTAATGAGGAATAACTCACTAATAATTGCTTATATTCTTAAAAGGTGAAAAATGATCTTGTTAACTCAAGCATCTTCTGCTTTATGTTTATGTGAAGGATGGAAGGCACATTTGAACTTAACAAGTATTCATTGAACGAATGCTACACAACAAACCCTGTGCCAGCTTTTAGAGAACAACAAACGAATCCCGTAATTGTTCCTGCTCACAAACATCTCACAACCCTCCAGAGACAAGTACTTCAACTATTAACTGCAATAGAATATACTAAGCCAGACACAGAACTTGTTCTTGCACAAATATTTTATTCTTCATATGCAGCATCAACAATCCTCAAAAAGCTACAGTAAAATGTTTTGAAATACACAGACTAATGACACCAGAACAGTGCTGTGTGAATTCTGGGACAATGTCCCTTGCTTGGATCACATAAAAAACATTGCCAGGATTCATAAAAACACTGGAAAAGTAGCTATATCAGATAAAAGTATGGAATCTGGATGGCTCAGTGTGAGCTATGACAAGGACAGTGGCTTGGTTGGAGGAGTGGAGAATTCACTTTTTGCTACTGACCCTTGTTGGGTGACTCATATTTAAAGTAAAGCTAGGGTGGAGATGGGATATTTGACATGGGGCAGTTTTTTAGCTTTGAACACAGCATGAACGCATCTTGCAGAGACCTTGTAGCAACTAGAATCCTGTTTGTTTTCTACTTTAATTCCACTTGGATGTTCATCACCCTCATCCCGTAGGTGATGAGGTCCTTCAATAGCACAAGCTGAAGGTGGGACTGCATCATCTTTTTAAAAGGAAAACAAAAGACAAATCCTAAATCGGAAACCCTGTTACATATGATAAACTGTACTAAACACATCTGAATCCCTATTATGAAAAATACACTGTAGTAAAAGTAAATGTATCTTGTTTAAATAAAAATATTTCATGGTAATAGGTAATAAATATAAGAGATGACTTTAAATCAAGCCTCAAGAGAATATCTAATTTGGAAAATTATCATTTTATTTCACTTGTGGTATTTTTGTAACTCCTTCAAATACATGCACTCTTCCACTCAATAATTATGGTCATAAAGGGGGAAAATACATGAAATATGCATGTCAGTATTGTATGTTCCAAAGGTCCAACTGTTTACATGTACAAAAAAGACCTTTCGACTAATATGGAAGGGAAAACACACACGACTTCAGCCATAGTAGAATTTTCTACTGAAAAGCTTGTCTGTAGCTGTAACATGGTGACACCTAAAAAAAGCAAGAAACAGTCATAATGTAGGACAATAAGGAGCATTTGATCAGACAAAGACCCCCAAATCAATAAATGAAGGGCTTATAATCCAGACACACCAGAAGCTGTCTCTTCTACAAAGTTGAGTTCTTCCTGTGTACCTTGTCCCCTTCCCTTAGATACTCCCTCATCTATGTCACAGGGGTATTTATCTTGTTTTCTCTGAAGTTTCCTATGAGCTAGAGATTAGTAGTGAAGTAGTGATGACGTCACTTCACACTGAGCGGACATTACAATGGGAGTAACTATTCTTTGTCTTAGTGTCAAATAGTGATGATGTCGCTTCACACTGAGCAGTCCTTGTCTTAGAATCCCATACCTTAGAGCCCCCGCATGTAAAAGCATTCAAGGGAAGGCTCTTGATGTTATTGCTTGTCGTACTTTATTTTCTCATTTTAGGGCAGCATTCAAATGCATATTCCATAAGTTAAATTCTGTCTTTTTAGAATAACAATCACTTCCTGTCATATTTAAGGGAATTAATCGTGGAAGCCTTTCACAAATGCAGTAAAGAACAGTGGTTGCTAACTCACAAGAAATGCATGTACTTTTGAAAAAATAGGGAAAGATTTTAATTATGATCCCATTGCCTTTTTTAGTCAACTAAACAAGCTAGAATAATAATGTTTTGAATATAGCATACCTGCTGCTTCTAAAACCATACCTATTTGCTTGATAATAATGCAAAAAATGAAATTCAAATCTTAACTATAAATACAGTTTAAATGTTTTCCTATAAGGAAAATGCTCTTTGCTAATATTGTAACTTGCTTTTCTAATTGAGGAAGTTCAAGATCAAAGATATGCATTCTTTTCCCTCAAAAGAACTATTCTTAACTTTCCCATTTATCCCAAGTAATTAACATATTTCTTTACATACAGTTTTCCATATAACTTACCTATATGACCAGGCCTGGAAATAATACATAAGTAAGGTTCTGTGCTATTTCATTATTTTAAAAATTCCCATAAAAGTGACAATCCTATGATTGATGTACTTCTCTTTAGGAAGCTATGTTTCAACATCATTACTATCATTTAAAAACCAGACTATAAAATGCTTGAGCCATAGTGATGAGTATAATCAAAACTGAGGACTGAATTCTAAGAAATATTTTCAAAATCTCTCCTGCATGGCTGTGTTCTTGGACAGACCATGGGATGGAAGGGGCAGCATTACCTGGGCTCCGAGGCTTTCAGCCCTTGTGGGAATTGGAGAGGGAGTTTTTGTGCTCCTCATAGTCTGCAAAAGCAGAAGCGATATGTTCTGCCTGCAAAGAGAGAGGTCTGGGGTCCTCATTCATGGAGAAGGTATTTGGAAGTCTCCCAAGATCAAGTCCTCTGCCCCTAAAATAGGCCTGAAGGCTTCTGAAAAACTAGAGACAAAGAAAATGCTCAGTGTCTTTAAATGAAGCATGCAAGCACCTAAAACCCCGTGTTTATTTCCCTGCCTTTCTTCTCCTGGAACTGACTTAAACACCCACCAGAGAAGCAGGAAATTGACAATCTAGAATGGCTTTAAGCTTCTCCTGTCTCTTTCTAAGTCTTCCAGCTTTCCGGACATTTCAGCTCTCAAGACAGTACAGCATTCTTGGTGGCAAGCCAGGGAAGGCACAAACGATTAAGTCACATTCAAACAGATACTCAGTGAACCATCTCTGGCCAGCAAGGTGGGAGATGAAACCAAGCTCCATGGGGTCAGCTCCCTTTCTCCTCTGCCTGAGGGGACCCCAGTTACTGTCCTGGACCACTGTCTCTGTTTCAGATACCTTTTAGCAAACTAACAGCTGTGCAGAGTGCTAACGGCTCGATGGCTTCTGGCCTACCTTGTTGTAGCTCAATCACTTCCTTTAGAAAACCTACATTTGAAATAGACATGTCAACAATGGTGTTGATCTGGGTATGCTTTTAAAAGCATGCTTTAATGATCTTTTGAATTCTGTTTCCTAGATATCTGTAGGCTTGAAATTGACAACTGCACAGAGTCCACTTCCAGTTTCTGCAAATAAGTTTTGCAAATGCTGTTGTGGGATAATCCGTTTTATCATCACAAAGCGATTCTTTCTTGCTTTCCCTTTTTGCTGTCTCTATCTACTCCTCTCCGTTTCCCTCCTTTTCTGCTGTCCCAACCCCAGATTTGTGCATGATAGGTGAGCTTTCTGACATCAAGCTAAGTCACAATACTCTTTTCATATTGTTTGTATATTAGAATCAGTGCTCTAATGTTGGTATATGTGTAAGATCACTTACAAATATGATGTGCTGTGTATGCATAAAGTCACTTCTATTATAAATTTGTTTCTCCATATAGAAACAAATGTAACTTAGAGAAATTTTAGGATGCCAGCTACTAGGAAAGCAAAATTTAGTCCTGTCCTGATGAGAATCTTCTCAACCTTTGGTAGCCTTCTTATAATTATTGAGAAGTGCCAGCTGCATCCCTCAGCCAGTGTTCCCCAGATGTGTTCTTACCAGTTCTCTGTTTCTGGGGTTGCTCAGTGGCTTCCACGAATCTTCGTTTTTCAGAATGGCTCCATGTACATGATTGGTCAGTACCAGGGCAGCCCAGATCAGCAGGAGGGATGCTTTGGACATGGTGCTGTATAAAAGGGGAAACTGTGGTCACCAAGGCAGTCAGAGAGAAGAGAAAAAAAACAAGGATCCAGGCAGATAAAAGAGAAGAAATAGCATATTGGTTTGCCTAAGTATTATAACCATTTTTTTTGGTTTGTCTGCAAATGAGGCTCTTGAAATTTAGCGGGCTAGATTAAAACACTTCCCAATGACGGAAACACTATACTGAACTGAAGAAAGCAAGGTGACTGTACCTAGAAAGTCTAGGTATGCCGTCTGCATCTTTAAATTATGCAATCTCCAAAAAAGTGCAAAATTTAAAATGAAAAAATCTTAAGTCTAAAAATCTTGTGTCTTGAGTCAGCAGATTTTTTTTTAGTGGAAATGAAATGGCAGAGAAATAGAAAGTGCTTTGCCTAGGGATATACCTCTATGGTAGAGTAATAGCTTATCATTCACAGAGCCCTGGGTTCAATCCCTGGTTCTACAAAAAGAGAGAAAGAAAGACAGATACAAAGAGGGAAAGAGAAAATGAGGAGGAAGAGAACTGAAGGAGGAGGAGGAGGAGAATTTAAAATAGTAACAACCGATTACTTAAAGTAGCTAAACTGAGAAATATCCCCAACATACACATCTTAGACAGACATCCCACAGCAGAATAAGTAGAGATTATTTTCCATCTCAAGTTGTGACATAGAAGCTGAAACACAGACAAAGGCAATAAAGCTTACCAAGAGTTTGGCTTCACCTGGCCCTGCCTACGATCTGCCAGTGATTCCCGGGTTCTTATAACCAGTGGACAGGCTGCAAGAGGGAGCCACTGACGTGAGCAGAGGCAGTTCAAAAATAATGATTCCGTTTTCATCCATGGCACAGAGACCCTTGAGAAGCAGGTCTCCCAGCATCTTCAGGGGTAACCTATTTATCTTTTAAGTGCATCAGCTGCTTTGGGAGCCACTGGCCATATTACTTGAATTTGATAAAACACATGAGCCACTTCCACACAGCAAAGTGGCTCTCTCTTTTTTTTGTGTGTTTAGGCTGGAAATATGATGATGATTATCTCATCTAATAAGATGTACTTTGAGAAATATCAGTTTTCAAATTAACAGCATTTTTTGAACAAGAAACTCTATTGCAAAGGACAAATTTGCTCTTGTTGACCTCCTCATGGTATCTTCTTCTTAGAAATAGTGGCATGGTTTATTATAATAGCCCATTCAAGATGAAGCAACCAGATAGCATACACTTCACAGGAAAATGAAAAATGACTATACCTGCAGCATCCCCTTGCTAAATAAGAGCCATCTGAAGGAGATGGTAGGGCAGAAAAATTGGATTCGATGGCTTGTGAATTTGCTGTGATTTCAATGATTCAGAATGAAGTTCAGGACAAGCTCATTGTTCAGAAGTCTAGTGATCAGAACTGTAAATTACAGTAATGGCTGTGGCTGTCAAGGTGGTGCATGCCTGTAATCTCAGCACTTGGGAGGTAGAGATAGGATGGTCGGCCATTCACAGACAACCTAGGCCACATTTTGAATTTGAGACCAGCCTTGAATATATGAGACCCTGTCTCAAACAAACAAAAAGCCAGCTCTTGTTTCAGCTTTGCTACCTTGACTATGAACAAATTTATGACACTCATTTGTTCATTTTTTGTTCAATCAGCAGATGTCTTTTTCTTTTTTCTCATTTTTTAAAAAATTTTTAGACAAGAGCCCACTTTTTAGCCCAGGTTAGCCTCAAACAGGCAATCTTTCTGCTTCAGTGTCGCGGGTACAGTAAGTGAAACATGTACCCCAACACCTGGCTTATTATTACTGAGTCCTTACTGTGTGTGAGGCATTGCACTAAGCTTTGAGGGCAAAATGGCAAAGTCCCTTCCCTCAACCACCAAAGTGGAACAGAAGACCAACATTTACTCCACCGTTATTCTGTGCATTATTTAGCTAGTGGCAACTTTTCGTGGTGCTGTCGGGTAAATCCAGGACCCCGTACATAGTAGACAAGCACCCTACCACTGAGCTATATCCCCACATCTTAGTGGTTTAGAGACAAGGACAGTTTGTCCGTGAACTGGGGATCGTTCTGCCTCAGCTCCGGAATGGAGTCCTGGAATTGCATGCCTATACCACAATACCTAATTCATGATGACAATTTCCATTGGGAGAAAGTGTAGAATTGGGGATATGATTCATTCTCAAAGGTCAGAGAAGGCTTGTGTGAGAAAGCGACCTTCCATCTAGTAAATTGATTATGAGTTACCTAGGCAACCTCAGGAAGGCAGAGGAAGCGGCTTTCAAGCGAGCTAAGTAGTTGCTCTGGCTGGAAGAGAGCACCTTTAAGCAGCTGAAAATAAATTAGCAGGTCGGAAGAGAGACGGAGGGGGCGCCCGGGGAGGGAGATGGGGTGGGAGAAGCAGTTGGAGCCTAAAATCGCTACTGCAAGAAATGCTACAAAGTAGCCGGGCGGTGGTGGCGCACGCCTTTAATCCCAGCACTTGGGAGGCAGAGGCAGGCGGATCTTTGTGAGTTCGAGGCCGGGCTGGACCGATAGCCTCCGAAACAATACAGAGAAACCCTCTCTCGTAAAAACCAAAAAAAAAAAAAAAAAAAAAAAAAAAAAGAAATGCTACAAAGTGACTGGAGCGTTTTAGACATCTAAACAGCTTAATCAAACTGACACCAAGCACAACCACACCAGTTCGTTTCCAGTTGGATTTTCAGTGCTGGAAACAGAGCACAGAGCCCCACACAGGCACATGGTCTGCTTCTTACCCCAACCCCCACCCTTTTAAGTTTTAACTCTTATTTTGACACAGGGTCTTAATTGTGGCTCAGGTTCTGGGATCCTTCTCCTTCAGCCTGGAGAAGAACTGGAATTACAGGTGTTTGTTTCTTAAGTCTCCATTTAAAGAGCAGAAATGTATCGTTGATAACTGACACTTTTTTTTCTGAATACATCAACAGTGACTAATGGATATTTATAATTAGCTGTGGATAAAGGAGAGAGAGACAGAGAGAGAGAGAGACAGAGAGAGAGGTGTTAAACATTTGTCTCAGTTACTGTTCTTCTGTCATGAAGGAACACCATTACCAAAACAAGTTATCAAAGAAAGCATTTAATTGGGGGTGGCTTACAGTTTCAGAGGCTTAGTCCATCGTCATCATGGGGAGGAGCATGGCAGCCGGCAGGCAGGCGGGCTTGGTGCTAGAGAAGCAGCCGAGAGCTCACATCTCATCTACAAGTGGCAGCCCAAGAGAGAGAGCTGCAGTCAGCGAAAACAAGTGACACTGGGCCTACTGTGGGCTTCTGGAACCCCAAAGTTTTCAAAATAAGGCCATACCTCCTAATCTTTTCCAAAGAGTTCCACTAACTGGTGACTATAAACATTCAAGCATATGAGCCTATGGGGTAATTGCCATCTAAAGCTCCACAACGTTTGTCCCTCTTAGCGGTAACAATTCCGATTACTTGTGACCAAATGGAGTTGACCTTCACAATTTCACGGGCATCAGGGAAGCACCTGCTCTATTGTTGCCTGCCATTCATTTCATTTAAAGATTTCTAAAGGGGAGATTCAGTCACGCAACAAAAGCATGGGGACCCAGGCAATTTTAAATCTGAATATTAAAGAGCATCTTTTGCATAAAGTATGTTACATTTTTTTTTATCCCAGTGGACCAGAGTGAAAGCCAGTCCTGGAAGTTAGAGTCACAGATGCTGTAGAACCTGAGCTAAATGAGGAGACAGTGCCTATTCAACATGTTGCTGTAACAAAATATCTAATTAAAGCAACTTAAAGAAGGAAGAGTTGGTTTTGGGTCACAGTTCTAGGGTACAGCCATCATGGTGTAGGCCTTTGAGGCAGCTTCAGGATCCAGTCAGGCAGAGAGAGGTGAATGGTGTACTCAGCTCAAGTGTTCCTTTTTATTCAGTCTGGAACATCAGCCCACAGAATGATGTCACCTGCCTTCAGGGTGGGTCTTCCAACTTTGATTGGCCCAGTGTAGAAATTCCCAGATGGATTTGCCAGGAGTTCATTCCCATGGTGGTTCTAAATCCTGACAAACTGACAGTAATGGTCATCATAAGAACATCGAGTGTCAACTTCACAATGAAACATGCTATGCCCAGCATGGCTTGGCTCTAGAAACCCGAGTGAGGTGACAAGGGAATGGAGAATGGGAAGGAAAGACACAAAGATGCATTTCCAGAAAGGCTGGGGTCAGGTGGGTTGTGCTTTCTCTGGTGGAGGGCAAAGACAGCAGCCCAAACCTCAGTGTTTATTTTGGCTGAGTTAAAGAGGTATCGAGTGAAAAGGTGGGCTTATGGTAAACAGCGTAACAAGGAGGCAGGGTTAACCGATCCCTGTAGTTCTCTGGCAGGGTGCAGTTTCAGGCTACAGCCATCTGGGAGAAATGCAGTTGGTAGTTACTACATACACTGTCAACATTCATATGTGAACCAGAGGAAAGCTTGGCCAGCGCATTAAGCCTCACCTGACAAGATCACACTGAGTTACACAGGTGGGCCATAAATGTGATCATTTGTCCTTACAAAAGGCAGGGACTGGAAGATTTCAGTCATACTGAGGAAAGGAGATAGGCACACAGACATGACAAAGATTTGATGATGTTGGCCTTGAAGACCCGGGTGATGCAGCCACAAGCCACAGAATGCAAAGAGCTAACAAGCATCTGTAAGAGCAAAGGAGCTAATCATTTTCCCGAGTCTCCATCGGGCTGTGACCCTGCCCACACCTCCATTTGGGCTCCATAATACAGATTATTGACTTCTCCCTCTAGAAAGGAGGGAATATATTTCCATTGTTTTAAGTCTTTTGGATTTAATGTTTTACAGCAACCACAGACAAAGGAGACAGGGAATGGGGAGATAGCAGGGATCTTGGAGAGGGAGACCTAGGACTCATCATGGAGCTGAGCTGTTTCTATTACTCAACTTATGGCTGGTGACAGCTTTGGTTGAAAAGTTTGTTGCAAGCCTGGGCTGTGGCATGGGCAAACCTGTCCTTTTGAAACAGTTTTTTAAAAATACAAAACGCATGAGAGGTGGGTCTATATCTGGCTACTAAATTACATGAGATCTCATTCCTGAGTCAGAATTTTATAATATGCCATATATTTTAACCCACTAGTAGAGTTACTTAAGTATTTGGTGGAAAATACCATTTTAAATAGAACCCAAAATTTCCAAGTATGTATTTTATAATATAAAAAGAGTCATTTCAGGGAAGGAAAAAATATGAGGACAAGTACAGACAGGTATTTCTTTGGGTATTGTGGGGAATAATTGGGCAAATGGGTCTCTTTGTAGTGCTCATCAATTGTGAGCACTGAGACAGAACCAGTAAGCCTTTGTCCCAAGGGAAGATGTCAACCAAAACCCAAACCAGCCCTTCCCATGTGATGATGAATCCACAGCATCCTGAATGTTAAACCAAAGAGAACAAGGCACCTACCTTTGTACTCTTCTTTCAAAAGTCTTTCCAGCCTGTCTCTGAGAAAGTCCACAAGAAGTCTCTCTCACAAAGATGATGTCATCCTAATCCCACATTAATGTGTACCTAGATGCTCTTAGGGACATTCTATGTTTCTGCTAGTAGTGCCTGCTGATGTCTGCTTTAAAAATTCACATCTGTTTACTCTAGAGGAAACTTCTGATTTGTTATTAAGATTTGTGAAATTATAATATATATATATATATATATATCACTTCAACATGACACCCTCAGTCCCATGCAGGATGCAGCAAAAATGGAATTTCTTTTTTCTGTGTGACTGGTATTTTATTGTGTATATATGTGTGTGTCCATATATATGTATATATATATATATATGTGTGTGTATGTGTGTACATATATATGGGGTATAGCTATATGTGTGTGTACATATATGGTGGTACATATACATATATGTGTGAGTACATATATATGTATATATACACACATATATATTATATATAACATTCATACATACATATATATACTTTCTTTTCCCATTCACTGGTGGACACCTTGGGACTGTTTTATTCTAGTTTAAAAACAACATATGCCAGGTCTCCTTTCTCCACATCCTTGCTAGCATTTATTTTTGACCATCTTTACAAAAGCCTGTTACAGTGTAGAGTTAAAATGACCCCCAAAGCCTGTGAGGTGGACTTGGTTCCCAGTGCAGCAACATCTGAGGTGGAACTTTGGGGAACTGATTGGAGATAAAATAGGTGGCCAGGAGTGTGATCATTGTTTAATCCAGTCAGCAGATCTTAGGCAGCTGATGGGAACGTGGGGGTGGGGAGGGGTCTAGTTAAAGCGAGTGTGTCTCTAGCGCATGACTTGGAGGCCGTACCTTTCCTGGTCCCCTCTCTGCTTGCTGGCCATGGTGACATGGCCAGTGTCTAGCACGTGCCCCTGCTGCCATGATACTCCACCTCAACTCAGACCTAAGACGGTGGAGCCACGGACTGAGTCTAGCACGGCATCTCTGAAAACTGAACCAGAATAAACTTTCTCTTTTGAGTATCTGTTAGTTTATGGATATACATATATCATATTCACAAGAGATATATCTACCAATGACTGTTGTTGCAATTTCTGTGTCATTCTGTGACTGCATGCTTGAAGCATGGTGCATGCCAGCACATGTGCTGCAGAACTTTTCCCAACACCATCTTCTGAGGAAGTTTTAAGTTTTAATGAAGATCAACTTACCAAATTTCTTGTGATCTGGCCATCAGGGACAGTTTAATATATATTATATGTTATATATATATAATGTATAATATTTTTTTTACAGACAGGGTTTCTCTGTATTGTTTTGGAGGCTGTCCTGGAACTCCTTCTGTAGACCAGGCTGGCCTCGAACTCACAGAGATCTGCCTGCCTCTGCCTCCCGAGTGCTGGGATTAAAGGTATGCACCACCAACGCCCGGCTTTGACAGTTTAATGTTTTAAAATTCCTATTTTAAAAGGTATCCATTAGCATTTTAGCCAGGCTTCTTTGTATTATTATTTTAAGGTTTGCATTGAAGGACAATAATCTATAACCTCATTCAAATGTGTAACTACAAGTAGTAATCCTTGGGAATTAGTTAAGGTTAATGAAAATACCAATTCTTTATTATGTAAAACTCAAACATATGCTGGGTGGTGGTGGCACATGCCTTTAATCCCAGCACCTTGGAGGCAGAGGCAGGTGATGTCTGTGAGTTCGAGACCAGCCTGGTCTACAAGAGCTAGTTCCAGGACAGCCTCCAAAGCCTCAGAGAAACCATGTCTCAACTGCCCCCCCAAAAAACACCCACTCAAACATATACAAAACTAAAGAAAATAAAATGTAAGACCCTGTGCTTACGACTCAGCTCTAATAATTAACAGCATCACCCATTTTGTTAAAGACCTAACTAGACTTTTAGCATTGGAGTATTTTGAGTCATTATCATGATACTTTACTAAAAGTTTGACAATTAATCATTGACTAATTAAGGGATAGGGAGATGGCTCAGTGCTAAAGGCACTTGTACTAGCCTAGTGACCTACGTTAGATCCTGGATCCCCTGTGAGGTGGATTGAGACACCCAACTTCACAAAGTTGTCCTCTCACCTCTATATGTGCATCACAACACACGTACCCCCCACTCACACACAGGAAAAACGAAATAGATAAAAGACATTTGACAAACCTCTCCTAAGACACACAGTAATGAGTATACAAAGTAGTTCATATGGATGTGTGAGGTTCTTTGCTGGGGGCAATCTAGTTACAGAAGCTGTGTGATGAAGAAGACTCTAGAATTAAATTTGTCCAGATTTAAAACTGGGCTGTCTGGGGAATCTGCATAAAACTGAACTAGACTCCCTGAATACAGGTGATAATGATGGGGCTGGGAAAATATGTGAGGCTACTAGCAGTGGGTGCAAGATCTAACTCGAATGTACAAACTGACTTAGTGGAGCCCATTCTATATGGAGAGATACCTTGCTCTGCATTCTAGACACAGGAGGGGGGTGCCTTTGCCCTGCCTCAACTAGATGATGGGACAGACTTAGTAGACTTCTTAGGGGATGCCTTACCCTCCCTGAGGAACTCATGGGAGGTGGGGGGGAGAGGAGGGAGGGGAACTAGGATTGGAATGTAAAAATTAAATTAATAAAAAAAAACTGGGCTGTCATGCTGCACTGCTTCTGGTTCACTGTGGAACAGAACAGCCAAGGGTAGATGGCTGGAAGAGAAAAGCTCCTACTTCAAGCATCTATTGTGTCAGCGCACGGAGCAAGATTAGATGAACCCTCACACCAGGATTTGAGAAGCTATTTCTAGCTGCGGTCTTTAGATGAGGGCAGGCTAAATGAGCTACGTTGATTCAGCTCTTTATTGAGTGAACAAGTCTGTCTGGCCTGGTGAATCATCTACCAGGAACATAATACTAAAGCCACAGACTTGGAAGTTATCTCTAAAAAAATTATAGCAAGAGCAAAAGGAAATCTTTGGGTAGAACATTGGAAACACTTTCTTCCAATGCAGAAGAAATGATGAATATGGTGAGAAAGGAATTCAGTGGAGAATGTGAGATCAACTAATGTTATTACATGTTCCAAATCTGAAGCCAAGGGCATTTTCCTTGGATAATCAAAGGTAATCTAGTTTGGACTCTGCTACAAGCAAATTGTTTAATTTCTCTGTGCCCACTTCCTTTCTTGTAAGTGCCCCCCAATTTCCTAGCTTTCTTTTAAAAAATCAAGCATGCTGAATGTATCTGGCATGAATTCTGGTACAAAAGGAACTCAAATGACTATTCAAGGGGAAAGTACAGGAAAAAGAAACCTGAATAGATGTCACAGTAGTCTAGAGGGTTTTGTTAAAATAGCTCACACTTTTTAGTTTCCTTATGATTTACTTCCTTTCCCTCAAAATGGGGATGGTGATGAAGGGTGGCAGCTAGTGGTGTTTGGTACCAGAATTTACTCCATTACAGAATCTCATGAGAATTAATTTACTTTTCTTCTTTCTCCTCCTACTCCTCCCATCTGCTCCCTCTTCCCCTACCCCATCTCTTTCTGTCCCTCTCTGCAACAGAGTCTTACTGGGTAGCCTGGTGGCATTAAACTCTTGATGTCCTTCTCAGCTTCTGGGACTTCAGGTGTGAGATTTCAGGGCCACCCCTCCCCAATGAATTACTTTATCTGTAAAGTGCAGCACCAAGATAAAGACACTCCATTGCCTTTCTTGTATGTAAGACCCCAGGGGACTCTAGAAAACGAGATAGGCCATTTCTAGGAAGCACTGAAAGAGATATGGACTGTCTGTGATCGCCCCACATCACAGAAATCAGGCTGGGTTCCAGGTCAAACCGAACGCAGACTGGCTTTCAAGGAGGCTTGACGAACTTTAGCATCACAACAACTTCCCTAAGGCAACTGAGGTCCTGACAGTGCTGGCCTACTCAAAGAAGATGCTACATCATCTGGTCCTCAGATGTTGCTAATGGTGATGCAGGATGCAGAGAGGCAGGATCTCTGAGGCTTGTCAAAAGACGTGGGGAAAGTGGTCAAGTTTCCATATGACTTGGCTTCTGGAGCAGAGGAAACTACTGCCTGTAACTCAGTGTCACACAGATCTTAATGGTTTTCTCTAGTACAGCGTTGACTTTTTAAAATGGATCCCAGTGCCATGTGCTGATGTTCCAAAGGACTGTAGCATGG